GGCGAGTCCAACCAACGTCTGCACAAAAAAAACACACAAAAAAACAAACTACTGAGATCTATTTTTGCGATGTTGACTCATTGAGATGTATCCAGGTTGAGGTCAAAGTGCCCAGCTTTCAGCTTCACGGTTCACAACTGGGACTTATGTGTGACCGGAAGAATCAGGGGGAATTTTGATTTTTACCCGCTTTATTTGAAGGCTGTCAGTCCCACCGCATAGAGTGAGAAACACAAAGTGTTTTTATGTGTTAGTCAAATCAAGAGAATCTCAGACAGATGATGCGTTTTACTCAACAGTCAAAGTTTCTTCCAACCAACGTTGTGACCAGTGAGTCAGCATTATCCTATTTAGACATGTGAGCTGCAGCGGCTCTATAACATGGTGAAAAACAGACCCTTGTACTACATTCAGCTATTTGCTCCAGAGAAATGATTGCTGCCTGGAGATGTGAATGCTGTTGACGTTTTAAATTTTACTCAGTTGCTAACGTTAGCCCGTGACATGTGTGATGCACCAGTTCAGCGCTAAGCTAACCAGAAATTGCCTGTCCAGTAAACAACCATCCTCCTCCGCTGCGAAGAGAGAAGTGCCCAGCTGAACGAGTCGGCTTTGATATTTGGAAGACTGGCCAACACGGACTGAATGTTCACTTCCTCCGCTGACATTGCTAAAACTAATGGCGGACCAAAACATCGCAGACTGAGCTTTCAGTGAGATTTGAATCAAGCAGAATTGCACAGGATGGCAACGTCCAGATTAGCTCATCAACAACTAGCTTCCAATTCTCACAGGTTTAATTTCTTTAGGCCCAGAGAGTCCTGTCACCAGTTCACCTCTGATCCTTCCTTAGATACAGACCACAGCAGACTGAAGATCCCCACCACTCACCTAACGCACACACAAGAACAGCTTGTTCTCTGAAGAGAACAAAGTAAGAGAAGCACACTGTTAAGCTTCAAGTGAGAAAAACAAACTATTGTGTTCCACTGCCTAAACCTTTCATTGAACTTGCTCGGGGAGTTGACGGTATTTTTAGCTGTCAGTGTAACACTCTTGGTAATAAGTGACCAAACAGCATGGTGAGCCGTTTCAAGTGATTAGCTTTGTTGGAGCCACTCGTTTCCTCGTTCACGGGGCTTTGGGAGTGCAGCCGAAGTGGAGTCATATCAGAACAGTCATTAGCGTTCCGAGTCGAGATTTTGTGTCATGTGCGACTGCTGATTGAAATTATTGCTCACATTTCAGGTTAAGCTCAGGTGAAAGCCTAACTAAGGAGACGTGTTTTTGATCCGTGGCGAAGAATTGGACAAAGAAGAAGAAGAAGTGAAACTCCAGGTCATCCTTGGATATTTTGGCACTTCACCTCGAGATGCCTAGCTGATTAATGTATCCGCGCTGCACATTAGGCGTCTGAGTCAACTCGAAATTGACAGAAGCACCGCGGGCCAAACAGGTGGAAGACTACAAGCAAATAAAGGTGAAGGTAATGGAGCGTGCTAATGGGTGCATTCATTAAGCCCGCCTCTCCGCCCGTGACCCAATCTGCCGCTCTTCGCTCGGCTCTCGAGAAGTGAGTCATTGCTCACGTTAAATAATGCGCCTCGTCCGGGTCCCTTCAGCGTGATGACAGTTGCGGTATTAGAAAAGAAATCACCGCCATGGGGACCCGAGCCCGTTGGCAGCCCGCTCCGTTTCTACGCTTTGAATTAAACACATGATCAGACTGGCGGGCTGAGGGATCAACAGCTCTCTCAGAAGCGGTCAAGAGGGGTCACCGTGTTGTAGAAACCGAGAGGTACCTGCAAGCTCTGACAGCCGGAGAAAATCCTGAGTACAACACACACACAGACACACACACACGCACTGCGCCACGCCACCCTGGACACCCCGGGTCAGATGTTGAGGCAGTAATTGGGAAGTCTGGAGTGGATGTCATCACCCAGAGAGAGCATTTACCATGAAGGTGTTCCAGGAGACAGAGGCAGATCTTAATTCCGATAAGACTGCTTTAATAGCCCAGGATCTTACATAACCGCTCTCTTTAGAAAAAAAGAGAAGGACACAAAAGTTTCCAGGAGATGTGGGCGAGTGTCAGAAGAAGAAAAAGAAGGAGAAAAAAAAAAGTTGGAGTATCATTTCAGAGGCTTTTAAGACAATTAAGGCGGTGTGAATCACGGCATAACAAGTAAACAATCAGTTGTTCTGGGGATAAATATATGATTTGAAAGGGTGTTTTTATCCGGTGCGGCCCACCGTGGGTGTGTGTTGCACGGCTGCTGTCAGCGGGAAACAACCCCCCTCCCCGCTCCCCATCCCCCTCACTGCCGGGTTTTTTTAGGTGACACGCTACACTCTCAGCAAGCCGTCTTTCAGCTGGCTTTAAAAGGAAGAAACGAGCCCCGTCTGCCTCCCTCGGAATAAAAATGAGCAAGACAATGGAAACGACGAGCCGCGCCGAAGACGTTGAAGCGTAATGTGAACAAAAGCATTTGCTGACAGGCCTGAGAGTCAACTGAAAAAACTGCAAGAACCACAAAGTTTAGATAAAGAAAACACTGTTTATGTTGTCATCTCAACACTATTTAGACAGGAAGAATCACTAATAATTGTACTATTATTATTACTATCACCACAAGTTTAAATGTTTTGTCTTCATTTGCTTATTTAAATGTTACTCTGGTAAACCTATCCGCCCATTCATCCGTCACCTTGTCCTCATTAACATCGCAAACATAGATGCATTCTACTAGTATTTGTTTTAAATCTGCTGAATAATTGAAGAGAAGAAACAGCATAATGAAAAATTATTTGCTTTTGCAGATTTCTTCCTTTTTTTTCCCACCACTCAGATGATCTATGTAATGAAACTAATACTAATTTCAGACGAAAAATAATCAGAGGAAGAACTAAAGGCAGTTTTGAAATATTTCTAAGAGAAGAACAGCATGTAAGCTCAGCGTGAAAATCCTCTCTGATCATCCTTCTTCTGAATTTCCTGAATCCACCATGATACATCACATTTCTTTAGAGCTGATTTAAAGCTCACCAAGAATTCACATCAATCAGAGACGTCCGAACTGGTGGCCCTCTGTGGCCCTCGGAGTGATTTTTGTGTTTCAAATTAGACCAAAGATACATAAAACATTAAAAAAAAAAAACTTTAAAAAAAATACAATTCAAACAAATATTCATTTTTGCATGTCATTCTAATGAAAGTATCAGAATGTTTTGACCCTTTATCTGTGATTTATTACTTTCTTCATTAAAGCTGTTGTTTTTTATTTTTATTTTCTGGCTTTCCAGAAAATACATAAATAACACCTGACCCCAGTTTCCCTGTGGGATACTGACTGTACAATGTACCCACTGTGCTTCCTACTAAGAGACTCTTTAACCCATAGCATTGTTACTAGTGTATAATATTAATTTTAAAAAAAACTATAATTAAAAAAAACAAACAACTCTGAGTCTGGCGGTGACACAAGTAAAGCCTGGATCCCGCCAGGCTGATGATACACTGAGGGGAACCTTCCTCTGTTTCACTGAACTGGAGCTGAAGCATCACTTCTCCAGCCCGTCTCCATAGATTTCTAAGACTAGTTTACCTTTGGCTTTCACTAAAGCGGAGCAAAGCTAACAAATGACCCACCGTCTTTGTGACCCGTGGACATTGATAGCGGCACACGGATCTTCGTTAAGTTGTTTTTCTTAAGCACTGTCCCTGCAGCGGAGCCCATCTGCTGCTGCCGCCACGCGTGTTTGTTGCAAGCGGCTTTTAATGAGCACGCGCCGACTCAAAGACAGGGCACAGCGACTTCTCACCTGGAGTGAGAATCTGGCTAATTCTCCCCGTCCTTCAGCGCAGAGGAAACAACTTGAACTCGCGGTGCCAAAAGTCGGCGACACGCCGGCTCTGAGTCCGACCCAACAGGGATACATCCGGAGCCCGGCGGTTTTCAGACTCCTCTCATTAGTCTGTTTTCCTCGCCGTGAGAACAAAGGCTCAAGGAGAAATGAACACAACATGTCTGTGGTGACAAACAGAACAACTGGAAATATGGAAAGTCTGAACACTTGAAGTGTTACAGCGCAGTGTGCAATCTGACTAAAACTTTTATAGGTGTATGTTTGAGTAGTGAACATTGTTCTTTTATTCTTTGAACTACTGGCTACACGTCTCAGAAGTTGCTAGCAAAAATGATTTGCAGAAAATGAGAAATGGTCAAAACAACAACAAAAATGCAGCGCTCTCAGCTCTCAGACCTCAAATAATGCAAAGAAAACAAGTTTATGTTCATTTAGAAACAGCAATACTAATGTTTGAACTTAAGATTATAGGAAATCAATATTTGGTGGAATAACCATGAGGTTTTTCATGAGGTTCAGTGCAGCGGTCTTTTTGTTTTTTCCAGATTTGTCATTGCAAACAGATTCTTACATACAAACAAAATCACAAATGCGAATATGAAATTTTCCATAAATTTTTCATCTTCAGCCTTTCACAGTTCTGGTTAAGGAAATTGAACTGTATTTATCCACAATTTCCAAGCAATTTCCGAACAGTTAAAATTTTGAAGTGCTCATCACAAAACACTCATTTCAGTCCCAGAGATCAGAATCCCAGCAACCTGAGGACAGATGCTTGTTCAAAGAAATCTAATTTATACAAAGGGGGCCACAAATAAAAAAAAATAAAATAAATTTACCTAATTTTCTGAATTTGAAGAAAGTAATGAAAAATTATCAGAAAAATATGAAATATTCTGGCACTTAGCAAATATGGATGATTTTGCAAATCATAACTGAGCTAAAACTGGACAAGCTCAGTGTAGTTTAATGTCAGATGAATGTATAACACCATTTCTTTCAGTGATTCACTTCAGCATTTACCAAGAAAGACTACACACTTGTTTCTGATGATTTCTGCGAAATCACACACACACACACACACACACACAAATAACATTTTGTGTACTTGTGTGTGTTTTCCCGTTTAGCGTCCAGACACTTGAAGGCTGTGAAATCCTCCTGGGCCCGGAGGTGACATACGGTCCTTCGGGCCTGGATCTCTTTTGCCCGGTTGCCATGACCGTCGCCCACTGTGCAGAGGTGGACGCAGAGAACTGGAACATTCAGCTCAAGAGGAAAACCCAGGACGGCAAATGGGAGGTAAGCCGCAGGCCGAACACCTGTCAAGTACATTACAGTGCGTCCGATCTGAACCTGGCTCAGCAAATGCCACTTGGTCCGCATTGCTTATCTTTTCTTTTGTACTTCCTTTTCTCTTTGTAGCTAAATGTCAGCAGTAATAGAGGTTTGGTAGCTCAGGAGCCAGACAGATCTTTCAGCTCACTTTGTTTGCTGAGGCTGAATATGTTGTCTGCCTCTTGGTTACATAGTGTCTCCAAGTCAAGGCAACTTGTCTTTGAGCATTGGGTTATATATTTATATATGTAGATTTAAATATGTATATATATTTAAAAATGTAGCTTATTAGTTAAAATAATGTTTTCCACATTATTTAAATCATGTTAAACATCAGCAGCCTGCAGCTGCTAGTTCTTGTAGAGTTTGGTGGACTTGCTATGTAATTTCTGAATATATTGACAAGAAAATATAGTGTTAAACCAAATATTAGACAATTATTCCTCCCAACGCAGATTATTTAAACTGTTGGTGACCACCTTCTGCCTGGCTATCTGCAAATATGTGCTTTATAAGACAAAAGTCACTAAGTCAGTGTGATATATGGCGAGTTATGTGCCACTCATAAAAGACTGTCAGGCTTACTTGGGCGAGTGGATTGATGTGACCTCCGATCCGCTCGGCCTTCAGAGTGTGACATAAGGCCCTGTGGATGTAACCCTGCTGCTCTGTCAGGAGGGAAATAAAGAAACAATTACAGCTTGTAATGGCCAGAGAGAGGCATGGCTGCTGTCAGTCTGCGAGGAGAGAATGGCAGACGGGCGTTGGGGGAGTTGGAAACAGGAACTATCGATTATTAGATCAGGAAAGGAACAACACAGCGAATTTAGGCGTAGGGCAATCATGAGCAAATTCATGGGAGTTGTTCCTCCAATGACCTTGGCCCTGTGGCCACACACAGTTGATCAAGCATTGATTTTAAACTCAGAGTGGTATTGCTCCCACTTTTCTGTTTCTTGCGGCTCGTTAATGCTGCCTGAATTTGTCCGTTCTTTTTGGGGTTTTTTTCTGTTCTTTTTCCCCCCGTTGGTGCTGATTGTTTCACTTGTCTGGATGAAATCCAGAGAGTTTAATCCCTGGCCCAGAGGCAGAACATGCCCCAATAGCAGTTGTCGCCTCACATTACTTGCTCGTGTTTTGGGGCAGCAACTGGCAAAATGATTACAAGACAAGTGGGAATAGAAGACTGCCATGTTGGGATTGGGTTATAATGAAGAGAACGGCACGTCGGGGACTAATGGAAATGTAAAGATGATGTAAACCTTTGGCAAACCCAGAATAGATCAGAATAATGAATGGTGCAGGTTTGCCGCTGGCTGTTATGGTGCTTGTCACTTGTGAAGTGTTATTTGGGTCGCTGCTGCCTACAGTCTGCATTGTTAACTTTTGTCTTCTGTCACTGGGAATATCTAAGAGCTCAAGCTGCTTCTTTATCGATCCCCACACAAACACTCAACAGAGCACCATTCAATTGGCAAAATTGAATTGAAAGTCTTTCATTTAAGCTGCACGATGTAACTTACACAAAGAAAAAACGTACGTGGTTGCTCTCTCCTACGCCGCAGCTAGCACAGCCTGATGTGAGCGCTAACGCTAGCGTTCACATCAGGCGGTAGTAGTCGGAGGAGATGCAGTTTTTTCACAGATTATCTGTCTCACAGCATGGTGATTTAAAAAATATGTTAAAAAAAACCCACTTTTTTTTTGTTTTGTTTTTTTATAAAAGTTACATTCTGCACCTCTGATCCCAGTTGGAGAAAAATGTGTCAGTTTTCTCCAAATAAAATCTCAAGGCAGTGAACAAGAAGGTGACAAAACAACATTTCAACTCAGATGCAAAGTTTGAATATATATAAATGTATTTATTTTATTTAAAAAAAAATAGCACAGATCTTCAAATGGTAGGTAGCAGCAGTAAATACAGCAAGACATAAAAAGCATGAAGAAAAAACATGTTGTAATAATAATAATAATAATAATAATAATAATAATAAAAGCCAGTTTGCACCACAAAAATCCTTGTTTGCTTCTCCCTTGACTTCAGATTCATGTTTACATAACCTTGGCTTTCACAAGTGTCTTCTGTTTGCTCTTGTGTGACAAAAGGGAGGCAATTTCTTCAGATGTGCCAGAGTTCTGAGTGAGAGGAGAAAGAAAAGAACAGAGGAAATAAGAACGGAGTCAAGATTCATGTCACTTTGAGATTTGACTCTAATATTAAAAGGGCACAGAGCTCCTTGGAGCTTCTTGGTTGGAAATAATGACTCACCGTTGAGGTTTAACCTAAAGAGGCAGAGGCAGAAGGGTTTGAAGACGTATAATTCCTCCAAATCCACCGCGCCATTAAAACACCCTCATTTCAGCTGCCATTAAAATGCATATGACTCACAAAAGAGTCCTCAACACTCCCAGCTACGCTGTGTTATTATTCAACACCATAACGCAGTGTGTTAAGCTGCGCTTACGAGAAAGCACAAGGCATAAATACAAAATGCATAAACATAAAGTATTTACAGGAGTCCTAGCACCTGATCAGAATGGAGCTGAACCAAATGGTAGCAGTGCACGTCTCATCAGCAAAGCAGAGCAGACTGTCAAACAGGGCTGCAGCTAGTGCTGTTGCTTAATCTATCAGTTATTCTGAGGATCAATCACTGAATTAGATTTAGAAAATTCCACATGCTGCAGACTTTTTTCTATTTATTTAAGCAACATGCCAGATATGTTTTTGAAGAGGGAGCAACATAGCATGATGTAAAGCTCAGAAAAGTTGCATTTCAATCTGGAGAGACTCACACAGAGAAGAGAATAGCAGTTAGAGATTTAATGATACAGAATCTTTGGCGCTCGGCCCCGGCTGAAGACTGTGAGTCGCGGATCACCGCGGGCAGGACATCAGCTCGGCCGAGCTCGGACAGTCTTCCCCGGGGCCGAAACCGGTGGTGGAGCTGGGTGCAGAAGAATCCTGGAAACATCCATCAGAACGGAGGTGGAGAAGAGGGGAGGAGGTGGGTTGTGCACAGCGACGAGCGGGTTGGCCCTCTGGTAGCTTGGCTTTTGAAGACGGTCCTGGATGATGATAGGCCCAAAGCGGAGAGTTGCTTCAGCCCTGATTGGTTGAGGTAGGACGTGGCGATTGCGAGATGAATGTCAGCAGTCTCCCAGGTTGAATATACGCCTAAGCTTCATTTGTATAACACGTCCATTTTAATTTTTTTATTTTTTTCCACAGAATTTGAGCCAGGTGAAGCTAAAACTGCCACCTGAAGAATTTTGAGTAGACAAAGGATTTTTGTCATCATAACATCACAAAATATAAATATTTAATGTACAATTTTAGGGTTACTTATTGCTCTGGGTGTGTCATTCCTTCAGCAAAATGGCCTTGGAGTCTCCATCTAACGATTAATGGGTTACAACGCTGGTTGATGATCATTTGAATAATCGATTGAACATAAATAATCTCAATTAATCTGATTAATTGTTTCAGCCTTTTTGTCATGATCTAGACGTCAAACTTTAATTCCCAACAGGAGCCGCCAGCAGGTCTGGTAACTCAAGGAACTCCCTGATAAAATAATGTTTGAAAAGCATTAATAAGTCATATTTGGTCATGTTGATGACGTTTGCAGGTGGGGCTCATAGACATAGCTGTGAGCTGGAGGATATGGAGACCAACTGTGTGTACTCTCGCTACCCAGCAGCGAAGTTCGTATTTTGTTAAATGTTTAAATTGTTGTTTTTTTTTTTTTGAGAGGAAAAGAAGCAATTGTGGAATTGAATCACTTCTGTTGGACGTTGACAGTTTACACCAGGATCACAGAAACTCCTATGGTTCTTTTGTTCTGTTTCAATCCGTCTCTTTGCTTCCTGTTATTACATGACATGTTAACTTTTGCTTTGCATGTTTCTAAAAACGTTCCCTTCGCAGTTGTTGCCGTCTGATCAGAATCTGCACGATGAGGCAACTGAAAATGCATCGAGTGCCCCCCGGTCTCTGGTCAAAGAAACTGAACCACAACGAATCTCAGCTTACAGTAAAAAAAAAAAAAGAAAAGAAAACTAAACTAAACAGGGTTTGGAGAACATCAGCTTCGAGTCATTCGGCCTCAGATCGTGAAGCACTGTAATCTGGGTAAAGCTGCAGAAAACAAGACGGGCAGGGAGCGAACGTGTGCGTCTCTCCTGTCTCACATGACGTGACTGCTGCTAGCATGACTTTTAATTGGCGCTTTGCCAGTTAACTTGATTATTTGCGAGCGGAGACGGCTCCTCCAGCTGCGTTTTAACACGCCGCTTGGTCTCACTGCTCCTCATTAAATCGTACCTTCGCATGAATTTCATGGATTCCGTCTCCTTGCCAGGGAGCGGATTGCAACGCGCTGCGTGATTGTACTGCGAGGAGGTTCTTAAGAAACCACTTGAACAAATCTGATGGGGGGGTCTGAATCCTACACCCACTTTTTTCTCTCCTGGAGTATTATACTGCCATTAAAAATCTAATTCCTTGAAGAACATGCTTTCTGTATCATTATTAGCTACTGTTTGAGGAATTTGTCCCTTGAGGTGTGATTTAGGGGAGAGCAAGAGTGAAGAAAAAACCGATTCCTTCATTGCAGTCGGAAATAATGAAGTGCTTTCCAGCTGCTCGAGTCGTCTCATAAATAAAACAGTCTGTGTTGTTTATAATGACAACATTTTGTTCAGTTCTGCACTAACAACATCACTCATGTAGGAAATGGCTTTCTACGTTCCAGCTTCCAACCTCTCTGAGTTCATGCAGTGTGATTAAACCTACCATATGTCACCTGACTTGTGATTTGAGAGCAGCTCCACATCCTGCTAAAGTTAATTGTCTCTGTCATGATATTGCTACAGCTCCTGAGATGAGTATTTCTCTCTCTACTGAAGACGAGCAGCTTTGCCTGCCATGTGAAGCGGCTGCAGCAGCAGCAGTCTGTTGGTTCTGGGTACTGAGGGGCGTTTATTCAGCTCTCATGTAAGGTTTTCAATCTTAGGCCTTGTTCACACGTAGTCAGGTCTTTACTGCATATCTCTACCGCATCGTTCATAAATACATCATACACACGTTACGGGTTTCAGAAAAGTTTCCATCCACATAAACTTTCACAAATCTGCCACTGAGAGCCGTTTTAAACATGCACAGCCCATAGGAGGCAGTAAAGCGCAGGGGGGCGAATCAGTGCCCTCTAACTATCAAATATTTATAACAATGTATGAATATTTTGTTCAAATATTAAACCTGATAGAATGATTTAAAAAAAACCACAACTTAAATTAATGGTTTTAATATACCATTGTCAATCTAAACTTCATATTTAATTATTAAAATCCCTGTTTTGATCCCTCGCCTCCTGAAATATACACTTACAACGTCCGTCATGATTAATCATTTGCCTCGAATGATTAAGTGAAGCAGTTGCAAAGGGTTAATAAAAAAAAAACAGAATATGATGATTTTCAAGTAAACCTCTTTTCAACCTCTATCCAGTTGAATTCACTACAAAAAAAGATATTCAATGTTGAAATGTTAACCTTTGTGGTGGTTTGCAAACATTCACTCATGTGGAATTTGTCTAAAATAAATTCCTAAAGGTTTTGGGGGAAAAAAAACTTAAATGTGTTGAAGCTCTCTGGTGTCATTTTCATTAGGTTGTTCATTTAACGGAGCATTCGGAAATTCAAAATGTCTTCAGGTCCGCAACCCGTCATGCGTGCTCTCTTTGATTTCCTTGGCAGGAAGTGATGTCGGTGGAAGAGGAGTCCACTTCCTGTTACTGCCTGATGGATTCCAGCAGCTGCCACCTGCTGCTGGACCAGCCAGGCTCGTACGCGCTGGTGGGCGAGCCGCTGACGCAGGCGGCCGTGAAGAGGCTGAAGCTGGCCGTGTTTGGGAGCGTGGAGGCGGGCGCCCTGAACTACAGCCTGCGGGTGTACTGTGTGGACGACACGCCGCATGCCTTTCAGGTGGGGATGGAGCGCCAGCATCACTTTGTGCTGCTGTACCAACAAAGACTGAATGGGGGACAGAATTTGGGAGTTAGATTTGTTTTGTTGTAGCTTTTCTTGGTTGTGGTCGGGTTGCATTTTTCTGAATAATTAAGCTCTGTTGTTGAAACAGAGTAATTGTTCCCTAGTGACTGAAAATGGGAACTTTTCAGCTTTTTTTTCTGAAAGCAGGTTTAACAAACTCTGAACAGAAGACAGATACTCTGAGTAAACTTACTCGGCTCTGTGATTGCCAGGGTTTTCAAGTTTCAGAACAAGGTAACTCAACTCTGAGTCCAGTTAGCTGAGCCCTGTCTTCCAGACAAAGCTCCTCCTCTGACCTGCAGCTTCCACCGCACAGAACATGGTACTTCCTCACTCAGCTCCTTCAGACTAGCCAGCAGCAATTAGCAAACACCTGGTGCTCATCTGCTGAGATGTGTACCAGCTACGTCTCAGAGCAATGCTGGTAAAAAACGTCAAAGGGTTGATAGAGGAGCCATGTTGGGATGACTTCCTTAAGGTGGAATTTCAAAAAGAACAGAAGTTTTTAAAGAGAAAAACTTCTGTTCAGTTTGTTAAATTGAAATTGGATCTCTATATATAGCACCTGAAGTTATCATAGTTACATTAATATCCTATAAAATGGCACTACATGCCTGGAATACACATAGTACTGCTCCTTTAACTAATTAGCTGTGGTTGCATTAAGTTACAGGACTTTCACTGAAAATCGATTTCTTTGTGTGTTTTTCATCCATGAATAGTTAACTCATCTGAGAAAAATGAGAAGCTGCAGCCTTTCTTCAAATAAGCCATCAGAGCTTATTGAGATACCATTTTCATAAAATGGATTCACTTATTGTTGAAAAACCAACTGAATAATTCAGTTTTCTCCCAACTTTTGCTGTTGCCATTTTGCAGACTGTGGATCACAGTAATGTGATGCTTCTGTGGGGGCAAAAACAAATCTATTTCATATCAATTTGAAAGGCTAATAAATAGATTCATAAACACAAAAACAAAGGATATTTTATCTCCAATGGATGTATGCCCTAATTAGGTTTATAAACACACAATATACTTCCAATTAGTTATAGTTTGTCCCCATTAATTGCACTTTTTATTTATATCAGTTCACAAAAATGTTTCTTAATTTCAGTTTTTGTCATTTCTGACTATAAAAACCTGGCTTGAGTGCACATTTTCAAAACTTGTATCAAAATGAGAAGTTTTTTCATACAACGGTGAATTTAAGTATCAAGCGTTTGATTGCTTAACAAATTACAAATTACATCCCAACCGCTTGAAAGAAGACGCCGTGTCCCCAGGGGGCCATTTCACAGAAACTGATTTGCGAGGACAACTTGGATGCAAATTACCAGCGAACCGTTTCCCAAATGACTCAAAGTGGCAGTTTGCAGAAAAACTTCCACTGCCCTTCGTCTGCGCTCATGCACGGAGCGCAAGGCTGCCTTCTCTATGAAACGCCTTTTAAGTGCCAAAATTAACAGTAAGTTGCTGCTTCGCTGTTTCAAATTTAAATGAATTAACAAACCTTGCCAGCTGAAATATCTTAAATGAGATTATTTAGTGGTAGTGTTTGTACAGCTTTATGAATTTAAAATAAATTAAATATATCTCAAATTAGTTTTTTATTTTTTATTTTATTATGGTTGAGACCAAAACATTTTATCATCCAGTTTTAGAAGAAAGAGAGAGAAAAGGAAAAAATGGTATATCATGAAAATGGAAATTATTTCGAAGTTTTTATTTATTTATCATGCCATACATTGATTTATTACAACAAGCAAAGTTGGAAATGTCCAAGCTTCCCCAAGAGGTCAGTCCAGAAGCATGTGATTATGAAAAAAGGAGACATTTAATCCAAGCTCCAAATATGTTATTGCAAAAATACAACCTGCTACATGCTATAAACCAGCAACACACACGCAGTCCCACCGAAACATCGCACGACTAGACTGGACACACACATTTGACCTAAACCATGCTAATGTCAATACACGCTGGCATTGTTTGTAGTTCTAAAACCAAGTTCCATTACCAGCTGTAACCTCTGGATTAATAACGGAGGATATTCTCATCTATTTATGGAGCTGATATCCTCCAGCGGACAGCACAAAGCAGCACCCAGTAATTGTGTTGACATTTAAGAGCCACGCTGCAAAATAAATTCATTATCAAATCATTTTTGAGCCTATTGTGAGATCTCATTTTGTGAAAAAAATAAATAAATACAAAACATGAATCCTGAACTGGCAACATTTCTGAACACATTTTAAAGGGGGAAACTGTTACGGTTCTGCTGGTTTTCTCCTATAAGCCTGTGTTTATTAGGCTAAATTTTACACATTTTCTTGAATGAATAATGTAAGAAGCTCCCAGCATGGATTTGCTTTGGTCCATCGCAGAAAAGGCTGATATATGAAGGCTGGAATAAAATCCTTCACTTATTATGACACAGACATCTATGGATAGGTCCCAGATCACAGGCTGCTATTGGAAGTGGTGGACAGCTCCAGATTTGTCTTTTTCTTCAAACCACGGAGACTCATCTCAATACAGAAAATGAGCTCAAGGCTGTTTGAAGGTCAAATGTGTTTTTCTAGGCTTTGAAAGCGTGCAGGACCATCTCTACAGTTGTGAAAATTCAATGGACATCTAGAAATGTTTGCTAGCTGCTGAACCAGATCAGGTTTCTGCTGATGTTCAAACAGGTTTGACTCTTGTTGCTGTTTCACTTACTGCATCTTCAAAGGCAGCAGTATCTGACCCTATTCAATCAAAAACATCAAAACATGTCGCTTGTTTGATAAGCTTAAACTCTGATCCACGACTCAGACAGAATCTCCTTAGAGGGGCAGTGCTATGTGAAAGCTTTCCATCATGTTTTGACGTTATTCCTTCATCCTGGAAACGTTGCATTTATTCTGTGCTGCATGTTTGAGAAATCCTTCAATCTCCATAGCAACCGTTCCTCCGCTAACACTTCCCCACTCTGCTCCTTCAGACTAGACAGAAGCAATTAGCAAACACTGCATCTGCTGAGCTCATCACTCGCTGTGACGACTTCCTGAGTTTCTGAAAGAGCAGGAGTTTTTAAAGAGACAAAGGCCCAATTTCAAGATGTTATTGGTTGTGGTCAATCATTAAATGCTAAAGCTATCATCTGCTATCACAAACGAAAGGGTGAGTTTTTTTACAATTTTTAGGGGATTTGGATTAAAGTCTAAAATACACAAATTCATAAAGAGTTTTTCTAAAAAACAATTTGTGAATAATCATGGATTTGAAATGTTTCCCAATCTCATTCAAATCTTTTCTCCCTGCTGTGACCTCAGTGTGCAGTGCTCTCTCGTCCTGTGAGCTCAGTGCAGACATAGTAGACCTTCAGGGAAGACGGAAAGTCGCACGTTGCTTTCTACGGTAATCTATCTAGATACGATGTAAAAAAATGTATTACTTGGTAGTAAAAACCAAATGACATGGAGGAAACTACATCTGCGTTCTCACTGCGCTCCTTCAGCAGTTGTGGTCAGACAGGCAGGCGGATGCCAAAACCTTCATGCTGGGAACACTGAGCAGCCATGACGGATGAATACCTGCGAGCCACAATCAAAGTGCTCTTTCATCATCTCAAATTCAATTTGGGGGATGGAGGGATGGACACCTTCTACCACGCTTCCACTCCTCCCCCCACACACACTCCCAGAAAACACACCGATCACCCTGTGGAGCTCCAGTCTGTCATGTCGCCGCCGTCATTGGGATGCTAATGAGGGAGCGCAACTTGTAGGATTTGTTCGGCGGAGACTCGGATGTCACTTCATGGAGGCCTGCTTCTGTGTTCATATTTGCTGTGAGTCAATTAGTGGATGTGACAGTCGAAAGGATTAGCAACAGGTGTTGGTGCTGATATGCAAAGTAAATGTTCCTTCAAAGGGAAAGAGGATTCTGGGTTTTCTGATTGACTCGAGTTCCTTTAGTTTGGCCAGTCAGCTTCCTCTCCGTTTCCTTCCTGTTCTCCTCTAGATGTTGTTTCCACTTCCTTTCCTTTCAGTTTCATTTCCACGCTCTCCTCTCTTGTCCACTGTTCGTCACACTGTGCGTTGCGTCCTCTCGTCCTCAGGGAGTGGTGGCCGCCGAGACGTCCAGAGGGGGTCAGCTCCTCGAGGAGCCAAAGACGTTGCCTTTCAGAGCGAACACCTTCAGCCTCCAGGTGTCGATCCAGGACATCCCCCAGTTCCTGTGGAGCATCAAACCCTTTACCACATGTCAGGTAACCCACTGCCGAGGCGTCCGTGTCACTCCGGAGGCAAACGGCTCGTCTGCACGTTGTTTTCACTCATGAGTCAAACAGTTTGAGCAGCTCTCACTTTTCCATCAGTGAAGTCGGGAGATTCCAGTGAACTCTAAGCTGTGAGCCGTTCTCTGGGCCCTGCAGCACAGTAACACGCTCCGGTCCCTCCATGCTCACAGTCCTGTCCTCCAGGGCCGGCATCCTGCAACCTTCACATGGGTCTCTTGTCCTATAACCTAGAATTAAGTGTCTAAACTGCCTCACCAGTGTGGAGACACGCTCTATAGTGCCCTGATAATGATCTGGTATTGGAGCCAGGTGTGGTGAGGCACAGAGAGACTCTGACCGAACCTTCAGGACTCTAGGTTGAGAGAGCTGGACTACGTTACGTCCACTACATAAATCCTACGTATGCAGTTTGTTCTATTGCTTCTTCCACTGTGTGGTGCTGTTCCGTTGGTTTCAACATTTTGATATTATTAGGGATGAAACGATTAATCAGATGAAACGCAATGAATCCATCGTTTAAACAAAAAAGGGAAGGAGAATTGGTAATTAATTGATTCGTTTGTTTAGGATTTTATTCGCATATGTTTTTGTATTCTCTGCCAATTTTCTAAGTGTTTTTAGTCGTTAGTTTTTACCAAACTTATTCCAATTGTTTGTCATATCTGCTGGCCTTGTTTCATAATTGGGTACTGTATTATGTTTATGTGGTGTAAAGCACTTTGAACTGCCTTGTTGATAAAATGTTCTGTGCTAAACTCCCTGACAGCTCATACACACATCCTGTATGAAGAAACGTAATATCCTCCATCCACCCTGTATCTTAGAAATGGAACAAGCCCAAAAGAATCACATTGAAACTCTGAGTGTTTTTGGTCACAAAGCTTGTTTTGGACCTGAACTCAGCAACTCACACAGCCGCAGCTTTAGCTCGTCAACAAAGAGCGCGCAGCATTCTGACCTGTTTCAGTCTTCCTGGTTTGCGTCTCTAATGTCAGACTCGTCATCTTTCCCTCCTGCAGAGAGCGTGACCATAAGACGTGATTACCTGTGTTCGGTTTGCCTGCAGGAGCATTAAGATGCAAACCAAGGCAGAAGGAACACGGTCTGTTGAATGCTTTGTTGTGTTTTTTGTTGCAGCTCAGACACTCTCCCTCTACTCCCCTCCAACTCCTCGCTGCATGTTTCTGTTGCTTTAAGATCTGAAGGCAGAGTGAAACACCCGCCACCTTATTTACGGACGCCCGGGAAACATGGGGCGCGCCGAGCAAGCCGCTTTACGTGGAGCAGGTGCAAAATAACGGCCGTCGTAGATCAAGTCAGCTTTTTAGTGTCAGGCAGCGTCCCAGGTTTCCACGCCTGCAGCCTTTTTCCTGATCTGCTGCTGCATTATCAGCTGCAGAGCTGCAGCAGGCTGCATGGTTCCCGGTGCTCACAAAGGTCGTCGAGCTGTGGCTGAGATCAACATGTTCGACATGGTTTTTTTTTATTCATCCTTCCGAGTCTGGTTAGCCATGATGCAACAAGAAACAACGCTGTGTATTGGTGGAGTTTCATGTGATCGATCAGCACATAATAATGAAAAGAAGGGAAAGTGATACATGGTGAGCTGCGAGACTCCTGGTGTCAGTTTCTACAAGCTTCCTACGAACAGAGTTCTGACATTAGAGCTGAGCAACGCGACGTACAAAAGAAAATCTCAGATCTTTTTCAGCTGATTTTCACTTCTTTTATTAATTGTCTTTTATTATATTTGGACAAGAAACAAATCCCATTGTGACTGCAAAAGATTTGACTCTGACTCTTTTCTCTTTTTTCTTTTTTTCATTTTCTATCATTTTAAATCATGGAGTTTAACTGGAATTTCTATTTGATGACACCACCGCACTGCCAGATTGTAGACATTTGAAAATAAGTGAATAAAATGAGTGCAAAAACACTCATCTTATTAAAATGTACAGTTTCTGTGCTCTCCTGCCACACAATTACAACTATTTTGCATTTGAACACTAAAAACACATCAAACTAGAAACATCAGACAGTCTAAATTTAAAAAATATGCCCAAAATCCAATTTTTCAAGTCTGACATGTTCCAGTTAAAAATGTTTTTGGAATATGAACTGGATATCCAGGACTGCTGGAACCTTCTCTGCCTGAAGCTCTCTGTTTTTCCAATTCCTGAAAACCACGTCCTGTGCGTCTCTTCAGTCACTTCCTGACCACAGGACGTCAAGTGCTGGGCAGGCGGAGACTTCAGAGCCGGAATTTCACCTGAAGCAAACCCCCGGTGTTTCTTTTGGAGCTGATAATGTTCCCTCCGCTTTTGTTTCTGGTCAGGAATTCTCCTTCCCTCAAGTGTGGTGCAGCAACCAGCAGCCCCTGCACTGTGCCTTCCAGCTGGAGAGATACAGCCCCGCCGCCGCCCAGCTCTCCTGCAAAATCAGCGTGCGACAGGTCAAAGGTCACGAGCAGATCCTGCAGGTCTACACGGCCGTGGCCGAGGTGAGGCAGCGCAGCTTCCCCGCTCTACCTTTGTGTAACCTTCCAGGAGAATGAGGTGGTGGAGGTGAGAGAAGGGGGCAGCTCTCCTGAGCATGCTCTGTGTGTATTAATAGACGCGCCCGCCTTCCTCTCTCTGCAGATTTATGTCGAGCCTCCGCTGTTCTCCCCCCGTACACACAGGGTAACTGTGTGTTTTGTAACCTTTATTTGCCCAGGGAGACGTGTGTTCCTGCAAATAGCCTTCTGTGCATTCACACACGCGCACACACCGCCGTCAGCAGCTGAGCAGCTCCAGTGGAGCGGCGAGGAGCTGCGCCTCCTCACTCAAGAGCACCTTGACGACGGTCGGGCTGTCGCGGCTCCCTCCAGGCCGCACGCCGCCGTAATAAAGCGCAAACCCCTGCACAGGAGAAATGTTATTTACAATTACTGTTTACACTGCGATTTAATTCCTCCCTGGTGATCAGCCCAGCTCCGTAAAAGCGGCGGTTTACAGGCGCCGCGTCGAGCCTTCCCGCTTCTGATTCACCTCGGCCTGCCTCCGAGAACCTTCACCCCGTTACAGCGAGAGAGAAAGAAACACAAACGGACGTGTGTTTTTGTCCACCGCTCTTATGTAAATATTAGAAAGTTTGGTGCATGAAGATCAACAGCTGGAGGGAATAATTATCCAGTCAGGTCCAATTAAAGCCAACTGGAAGCAGAGGACGCCTTGAGTATGCATAATTAATAGAGCTCCAGTCATGAAAACATGGTGACTGGCTTTTAGTCCCCCGATGTGAGGAATGCAGCGCAGTTTACCCACAAGAACTGCTCAACATGTCAGTATCTCCCACTACCAGCATTTTGGTAACCAGGTCGAACCGCTTCAACCATAACAAATAGAAAAGAGTCAGCATGTTGTGACAGAACCAGGGCCAATGTAGATAGAAGAAAGAAACACAGAAATATTGAGATTAATCTCAGAAAAGTCAAAATACTTTTACTTTTTGCACTTTACTTTTTTTTCTAGAAAATTTCTGCATTTTCTCTTCTGTGCACCAAAGCCCCAATATGCCGAACTACTACAGATAAAAAGAATGACTTCACCGCTCAGAAAAATGTCTGCTACTTTTGTTTTACCATAAAACGATGTAAAAAAGAAAAAAAAAAGTGTACGTGTCGAATGCATACGCACACCTTTTGGTCAGCAATCAAAAAGTGTGCTGATCGCTATAACTAGCGATCAGAGAGCACAACTCCAATTTTTTAATAAATGATCAATTAGAAACAAGTAATCAAATGAAATTTATCCAAATTCAATTTGCATAAATTAATGAACTTAATTCAGTAATAAATTAGCTTAATTTATTAACTTAATAAACTTAATTTGTTAAATTGTTAAGAAGACCAAAGAGAAATTAATGTAAGTCTCGATCAGCTATTTGTGACTATTAGACTATTTTTAAGTTGGAGCTGTGTTTTCTTTTTTTCAGCTTAAACTGACAGACCAAAAATGTATTTTCCGATAAAAATGATAATAAAGCAGGCTATACAGTAGCTGTACAGCAATTCTTCAGCATATCACACAAATATAAAACAGACCAAACAGGAAGACAGGAAAAGTTGGAAGACCAAATGGTTTCTGTCACTGTAACACGGCTGTCAGCAGTATAAGCACAGCAGCTTCATGCATATCAGGGGTTTTATTTTTTCTGCTCACTTGATGTTTTAAAACATCATTAATTTGCAACTTTTTTCTCCCCTTAAGAATGTTCTGTTGAATATTTAGACTTTTTAAATCACTTCTCCAAGGCCAAGTCTGTCGGGGAAACACTGAACCCAACATCTGAATGTCTAAAAAAATAACATTTGTATTAATTCCTCTTTATTTGTAGCTCATTATCTAGTCGAAGCAGCCCAGCGTTCTCCACTCTATCCAGTCATTTGCCCACTGATGGTGATGAGCTGCAATGTTACAGTCTGACAGAAGCCAGGTTCCCATGCCACCAGCCTTCCGGCCACCAAAAAATAAAAAATAAAAGGAAAGACAACAATGTTATAAAGTGTAACATAACTTTTATTGACACTTGGTGAGGGCCAAGGTTCCAAATATGTTTCAAATCTCGTTTCTGAGCCTGAGCAGCGAGCGTGTCCTGGCTCTGGGAGGGAAACTGTCCGTTCGCTCAACTTCCAGCAGCTGATTGACGCTCTGCCGTCGCCAGAGAGGCACAAACGTCTCTGACAGCGTCGCCTTCCAGCCGCCGCCGGCCTGGCTGGAGCGGCTGCTTGCTGCAGCGCTCCGACCACAACGCCTCCTGCGCCTGTCAGCATCTCCGGCGGCGCACGTCAACACGTCCCGGGTCCGTCACATCTCCGTCCACATTAATCCCACCGCAGGCCGAGTCAGGAGGACAATCCAACAAAGCAGCAACAAAGAAACAGGACTAACACAGGAGCCGCCTGGCTTCCAGCCACTTCCAGCTCATGATTTATACATTTCACAGCAAGAAGACGTTGGGCTTTCTCGTGGAAAAGAAGAAGTCAAACTGATTTCTCGAGTTGCTGGCAAGTCAGCAATGCAGTTGTTGTTCTAGTTGGAGAGTTTCCTCCTCCTCCTCGTCTTTCTTTTTCTTCTTCCCCCTGGAGGTTTTGTTTAAGAAGAAAACAAAATGGTACCATCTGTTTGTCTCTAGTGACCCTGTTTCTGCAAACTAGATGTTCCTGCTAAATGTTTCACAGCCATGAAGTTCTGCTTTACTTTCAACCACCGAGAGAAAACCATTCATCTAGAAATTCACTTCCTTTACAGAGTTTTTATTTTATTATTTTTTTATCCACGCTGTTCATTTTAGGATTTTAATGATTTATTTCAACTGGTATTGTTTTTAAAGTGAAACATTTAAATAACATCCCCCTCACAAGAATTTTAGAAACAAATTGGCTCTATAAATGCTGGAAAAGTTCAGGTTAACAGGTGACCCCCGGTCAGGGGTCTCAGCTGTCCCCGATAGGCTCCCCTCAAAAACTGAATCTCTATTTAAGAGTTCAGACATGAAATCCACTTTAATATACATCAACGCACAGAGCGGAGCTGCCACAGTGGATGACGTCTTCAGTCTTCTGCTGTGTTAAGTAGCGTTGCACCCAGGAAGCTCAGCTTTCCCAGCTGCATTTTCTCTTGAATATTTTAGAAAAATCCTTGAATAGGCAAATTTTCCATGAATAATTTGTAGTAAAGTTGAAAAGAGAAATCTGCAAATTGGGAAATCCTGAATACTGAACCCTGAAAAACTGAGGACCCACTGCACTGAATGAAAGAGAATGGAGCGCTTAAAAGAAACATAAATTGGACTATATTTGTCACATTTAGTTGAATTAAGTTTGCCAAACTGACTTTATTTACATATGTTTAAAGTGGTATGTAAAATCAACTTTTTGAGTTTTATGTCATGTTATAATGTTATTCACTTGTCAAAAACATACCCACAGTGTTGCCCTTATTCTTTTATTCTTCTTCTTTTTTTATGTTGGATCACCTGTTTTTGTTTTTCAGAAAAATCTGTTGTATTTCCTGATTCAATAAAATATGTAGAAAATTTTCAGCATTGTATATGGACTATTTCAATCATGATTCACTCACATTTTTCTGATTCATCTCTTACTAAGACCTGCTGTCCCCACAGCTCTCTGTGAGCTTCAGCATTGTGTGGACATTAATAAAGCAGGTCAACAACTCCTGGTCAACCTGGGTTGACCAAATTGTAAAAAAAATCGGTGTGTGGCGAAAAACACAGATTAAACAAATGTGTTGTGACTTTCTGATCTGAACTGTAATGTTTGGAAAATGATCAAAATGGCGAAACAAATCCCTCCAGAATTACATAGATAAATGGGATTTGTGGAAAATGTAATCTTACACTGATTTTCTACTTCAGTCTCCTATTTGCAAGTTTACACAAGACTTTAAAAGTTACACAATTAAATTTGTGTGAAAATTATTGAGATGTGCCAGAGTTTCAGACACCCCAGTAAAGGGTACTTGGTTTCCCCATCTTGGTTCTGTTGGGTCATTGCTTTAAAACATGCTGTCTGAATGATCTCAGCCCTGCTGTTCCTCTATGAAATGCTTACAGCAGCTGCTGCCATTCATATCTGACAGTTGTCTTTTTCTTGTATGTGCTGTCCGCCAGGGTGAGAAAGAGCCGGTTCCGTTTTTTATGCAGACAGACTGCACGGTCACATCCCAAACGGGGCCCAAGGCCTTCAAAATCCCGCTGTCCATCCGCCAAAGGATCTGCGCCACCTTTGACACTGCCAACGCCAAGGGCAAGGACTGGCAACTCTTAGCCCAGAAACTCCACCTGGACCGGTGAGTTCTACACCACACCGTAACGTACCGTGTTGGGGAATCGGTTGGGCAAATCAGAGCAGGTACACAGCGTGCCGAGAACAGGTGGTTCAACCTGTTCACACTCGATTGGCTTATCGCAAACCTCTCGGTGTTTTATGGAGATTTTAGTTGATAGGCCAACAAAGGTAGCACACAGCAGATGGTAAAGAATATACTTCAAGACATTGTACAAATAAAAAGATAAGTGTGTCGTCTATTTATGCTAATTCCCCCTGAGAGAGTACTTTGCAGACAGCATGATTGATTGGTTTGCTCATCAGCCTCATGGTCCACATAGGAATGGCGATGTAGAGGGTGATTTGGGTTAGCTTTAGCCTTCCTTTCAGCTGGGGGAGCTCTATCAGACTTATCCCCATCATTTTAATACACAGCCATACTTATGCTCACGAGTATAGATTCATATGTAGATATAGAAAATGTCACTTCTGGCCCGACCTTAGATGACTTTCCAGAAAACCCGACTCCTTATGGCTTTCTTTCAGTACTAACACAGTCATCTCTTTTGTTTTCTGGTAATTGCTCTGTCACAATGATGAGGAGAACTTGAGGTAACTGCTTGTCTTTGCTTGTTCCTGTGGCACCAATGTCTTCAGTGCCCACAGGCTCTGAAGATCCCCCTCAAAGCTCGCCTCTGCAGCTTGACCAGCTTTGAATTGAGTCCAAAGTGACCAACAGTTGTGCCCCCCTCTCATGTCGGCTCTAGGAATGTGGCTGGGCAGCTGCAGTGGCACACTGCCCCCTGGTGGACTCGGGGAAAACCAATACAATGAGGCATTGCACCGTATTGGCATGGCAACCGGCTCTCTGTTCTTCCTAAGCAAGTCAAACTTTAGTCGATTTCAGATCCTCGTGACTCGGGCTGGTAATTTATTCCTAATTATGTTCTTATTTTCTGTAAAGGTCACAGCCTTTTGTCGTGGAGTCTGTGAAAACAGATGGTTGTATTTATGGCTTAAAGAAAGATAAAAACTAGTTCTAAAGTCAAGCAAAGCAGCATTTAAGGATCCATAGGGATATTTTCTAGTTTTAGATTCTTGCCTAAAGTACTTAAAGTGGTGAAAGTTATCTGGGTGTGCAGTTTTATCTTATTTCTGAAATGAAATTTTCCCCTTCGTGTGCAGTTACTGTTGTAAATCTGCTCTCTATCAGGCTCTGCCACCTGAAACCAGAGAATCAGCAGAGGGAAGTCCTGCTCAGAAGTTTATTTTCTGTCATTGTCCATCTGAACTGATCTTCTGCGAGGTCAAATAATTTCTTTCCTTTGTTTATCTTGGAATTCTTAAACATCAGAAGAAAAATTTAATCCCTGTCGGCTTAGGGATCTCGCTGAAATACGTTCTAAAAGTTTCTAACTGGAACTTCCTTTAGGAAACAGAGTTGTTTTTTTTTTAATAATTCAATTTATTAATTGAATTATAATAATTCAAATTATTATTCTGATTTTAATTTACACCAGAAAGTTGGTAGGTTTTATGGAGGGAGACGACTCAGCGCATTGATTTGGTTGAATTCAGTCATAAAAGTTTCAAAATATTCCAAAGCTCATATTTTCTGTTAACTTTAATTGTGGCATATTCTGAATCGTCATGGTTACCGCCGTCTCATCCGTGGGAAAAGACAATCAAAGTAATATTGTTGGGTTTTTAATAAGCCTGTGGATCAAGTAGTTTGTTTTTTTTAACTATTTGCTGCTGTGTTTTAATCTGTCTCACCTCAGAAGCAACAAACTCACTTTGAAGCTTGTTATTGTAACTCTTTTCTACATATAGAGATGTGTTAAAACTGTTACTATGTTGTGACAGTGACAAATTTTCACAGACAATCTGTGAAAAAAAATCCAGCTCATCAACCTTCTCCCAGTGCTATCTAGAAACAGCCAATCAGAGCCAGGAGGCGGGTCTTAACGCTGTCAATCTTGCCCATTTCCTCGCCAATCTTGCCCATTTCCTCGCCACTCCCCCCTTTGTTCTCTGCTATGCTAGTTAGCATAGCCACCAATGACAGAGGATACATGGTTTTCAAGTGGTTGATTGACAGCGGTAAGCCCCTCCTCCTGTCTCTTATTGGTCGTTTTAGTCGGAGCGGTGGACTTTTTCAGATGACAGTAGCAGCTCAGAGAGCTGTCTCATGTTATGCTGTCATGATATGATGACAGCTTAATTAATTTTTTTTTCAAAATGTTGCTTGAACTTTAACATAACTGAGCGACAAAGCATGATCAGTGGGTGTAATTTAATAAGTCTTCATGTTACGTCATGTAAAGAGTGAAATCCTCATCCCTCCGCCATGTTGTGCTCCTCCACAGTAACCTGGGCTACTTCGCCAAGCATCGCAGTCCCTCCGCTGTCATCCTGAGCCTGTGGGAAGCTCGTCACCAGGACTCTGCCGACCTTGACTCTTTGGCCAGCGCCTTGGAGGAAATTGGCAAAATCCACTCCAGAAGCTCCCCAAAAGACCCGGACGAAGCGGAGCCTGACCTCAATCACATAGAAGCGGGCGGCCTTTATGGCACAGCCAATCCTGTGGCGGTTCCGGAGGGCGAGGACTGCGCTCCTGAATACACGGGCTGAGAGAAAAGGTCGGCCGGCTCTAACTGGCAGAGCAGCGCGCGTGTGCGTGGGTCGCACGACCGCTGACGGACGTGGCGCTGCCCCTGCGGCGCGTCGGGAGGTTGTCTGTGAGCGGACAGTGGCAGCGGTCAGCGGGCCGAGGTGAACCAGCTCCTGCTGTGGATCTGCCCTTGAGTTTTAACGGATCTGTGGACTGACTGTAAATCTTTATCGGCCTTTCCTCAGTTATTTGTTTGGTTTGGTTTTTTTCCAGCTCTTTGCTTTAAGTTTGTCTGTTGAGCTTTTATTACTTTTGACTTTTGCTCAAAATATAAGGGACACTTTATTTCTTTTAGTTTTTATTTTCAAACACACCCTCTCCTTTTTATCTCCACAATGACGTTTCGTAGGTCCATCCTTTTATTGTTTTTTTTTAAGCAGAATATTACTAACATTGTTGTGAAAGTGAACTTTAAAAGCCAGATATTCAAAAGTGATTCATTTTCATATTCGTAAAAAAAACTGTAAAACGTCTGAAAACCCTACGTTTGATTTATCATTTCCACCAAAACAGCAATGTCAGTATTTAAGCTGGAGACGGATGAAAACAATAGAAAGACCTGTGATAATGTGTATGAAGAGGTTTGTTCACTGGGCTGTTACAGTTTGGGAGGAAACTGGAGATCATCATTTCCTGTCTGGGGCATCTTATCACCTAATTACCACCATGCGCTCCCACAGTGAACCTCATATCAGGCACTGACATGTTTCGACCAAACCACCCAGAAAACACACACACACACACACTTTGTGACTTGAGAGGCCGTGTGTGAATACTGTGTGACAGTGGAATTCATTACTCACAAATGCATTAAAGTCACAACAGCTTTAAGGTTTCAGAAACTAAAGAGGTTTTTAGTTTTTCGTTTAAAAATGGCTCTAATGTATAAAAACACCAAATCCAGATGACAGAAAGAAGGATGCATTTGACTGATTCCTGGTGCACAATTAACAGTGGAACTCATGGGGATCTGTAACGTGTACTGACAAATTGGCAACATGCCCATCTACACAATTCTGCTCAATTCTCATCACCCTTAACTGCTACATCTGGGTTTTCTCCCATTCAATTTGATTTCTCTGGCAGAATTTTTCTTTGACTAGCACTAGAAATTTGATAAATGACATCATTGTTCACGACTTCGCCTTCTGTTTGCTGATTGACCCTGTAGTTTTGACAATGGCAGTTGAGGAAGTCAACGAAACCATTCAGTCCGTGTTAGCCACGCCTCTAAATATTTAATTAGAATTAACAGCCATCTGGTTCTTCCCAGCTCTCCTCACAGCAGAGGATGGTTGTTTATGGCGCAGGTAGTTTCTGGTGCAAACGTTAGCAATCAGGTGAAATTTACAACTTCAGCAGAGCTGCATGCCTCCAGCAAGCGATTGTTTCACAATAGCCGAGATTCCAGACACTCTGTACAAAGTAAAGCGTAGAGGCTGGTGTTTATTAGAAGTTATTGAGTTCCTTACTTCTTGTTATTTTGCATAAGGTTGAAGGTCCAACAGCTAATGCAACTTATTGCCTTGTTTTATTTAAAAGAGAGAAACATTTCTGTTCAGTTTAAAGTAGATGAAGATTTCAAAGTAATCCCCATTTTTTTGTGAATCCACCATGTTTTGATCCACAGTTTTCCTTTCTGTACCTGCAGTTATGATGTTTTGTCTAAGAAAGTTGAAAGAAACCTAACCTTTGAAGTTTCTTTCTTTATGTTGTTGTACCAAACATTATGCTTAAGCCCCCAAAACTCAGCAGTTTCCCAGTGTCAGCCGTGCTCATGTAGATCTAGTCTTATTTTGATATTTTTTATGCTACCGTTGTATTCTCCTGCTGACCAGCAGAATCATTTCACTACTTGCTTTCTTTTTTCAAATGAAGGTAAGCTTTGTTCTAATGTCAACAGTGAATGTTGTGAAGCCACTACCCAAAACTTCACTTCTCCTACAGATGGGCTAGTTGTGACTATAATTTCCATATATATATATATATATATATATATATAATGGGTGATAGTTTGAAGCCGATAGGAACATTTGGATTTGTCCAACGATCCACAGCCAGATTAAATGTGAGCTGATCCAGCAGTTTCACCAGAATCTCGCCTCACACCTGTGTGACATCAGCAGGTTTTTGCTGAACCTTTTATAGTTCAACTAAAATGATACTTTGAATTTTTCAAGAGGTCCTATGAAGTTGTTCTCAGTAACAATTCTCTTAACTGGGGGTTTCATCCATGGGGTTGGATTATCTCCCCCATGTTGGTTGTAAAATCAAACTACAAAATTTCATATCAACGGCATATTAGGTGGGGTCACCCTTTCATAGGAAAAAAACCTGTGGTAGGTTCATCAATTTTTTTCAGCTAACATTCATGTTGTGACGCTAAGCTTAAGCTAGCTAGAGACTACCAACTGGTAGTCATTACTCCACCAGGAAAAGGCCGGGGAAAGCACAGCCACAGCCCATCTTCTAAGGCATTCCACTATCAACAGCCTGCTGAAAAACACTTTTGCCGTACTTGAAGTGTATCGATACACCCAGCGGCATCAACCAACACAGCTTTAGCGTAGCATAGTGGCAACTTATCATCATCCACCAGTGACAGCTTGGTTTTTATCCACATCATCCTCTTCGGTTGTAGTTCGAAACTAAAAAGAAAAATACAAATCAGTCAAGCTAGCGTTAGCATTTTGTTTTTGTTTATTACTCTGTTTAAATTGTATAAGTCATGACAAAAATGAACTGAATGAAACAGCAAGAGTTATTTTGACTTATTACAAATTTCAATAAAAAATCAGAAAACAAACCACAATAGAAATCAAAGACGGAAGAAACACATTTTCTTTGGACTTTCATTTACATGACAATGAATGAGGCGTCTCCATTTTTCCCCTCAGCTAAGATCAGTTATTGATTACAAACTTTTAACCGATTTTTTTTTTTTTTTTTTTCTTCACTCACATCAACATGTCCTGTGGCTATTGCTGTTGTTTTATTGCTTATTTTTCCAGTGAAAACGGCTCATGTGTGTTATGGAAATGTACCTGAGCTTCTCACCAGGTGTTGCTTTGAACACATCGAATTATTTCTGACCTGCTACTGTACATTTGAGTGGTTGTCCTGCTGTGCTGGTGAAATCTCTCCAGTTTTCCCGAATCATCTCTATGCATTTTAAACAGATTATAGAACTCCTGTATAATTTAAGTGAAAAGTGTGTCGTTGGTGTTTTCTTTCCTTCCCTTCAATCAACTGTGACTGATTTTTGTTATTCCTGCGGGATTAAAAGAGAGTTTCTGTAGGAGCCAAGCTGCTGTTGCATCGAGCGTCCATGCCTCCATGTCTCCTGTCACACTGTGCATCCCCCCCACCGGCCTGGACGTGTCCCTGTGACGTCTGCTGTGTCTCATTATAACCTGAAGGTGATGCACACATCCTCACTGTGTCTAACCCTGTGGTGTCGGATATAATCCTGTTTCATGGGAGGAAAAATTCACTGTCGTGTCAGCGGAGTTGGTTGGCCCCATGCTCTTCGTTGCTACACGCATGGCCTTCGGCTTCATATCACTATTCTTGTGCCTTGTTTACCTACTGTAAATGGTGAATGTTGTAAAGTACAGGTGATGGGAAGAACAACAACAACAACAACAAAAAGAGAACTAATAATCACGCTGGCATACATTTAAAGGTATTAGTTGAAAAAGTATTTAATATTATAACATTGAATAGGCTGCAGAGCTTTTCTAGTGCTGAACATCTATGTTTGGTAACGCCAGGGCAGCTTTGTGGTACACTGTATCTATAATTCCGGACATTTTGGATGTTTTCTGTACAGTAGAATTTGCAAATGTATATGCAGCCTTTTGGAAATAAATGTACAGCTGAAAGATCATCTTGTCTCTCGTGTAATTTGGGGTCATTTTCCTGTCGTGTCACTCGCACGGTGTGAAATGATATCCACATCTCAGAATTCAAAGTGTGGGAAAACAAACGCCTGCGACTGGAAGCAACCGCTGATTCTTCGATGTTAATGTTGGGTTTTTGGAGCATTGGGTTTGACGTGTACAAAACAATTACGTGGTGTGGCGATATCGTCACCATTTTTTGCCTATTTTGTTTCAGAAAAGAAAGTGTAGCTAAAATTTTAGATCTAGCAAGCAAATACAGACTTCAGCAGCAACGAACACAATGTTTCTGCTTCCGACTGTAGCACAGTTTCTGTGTGCAAAAGGAAAAGTTGCTGTTATACACACATTGAACACTAAGAAGTTAATTGCTGTGTTGCCCTTGTCAATGACCTTTAGAAGGATTTTGATACCACTGTTTGTGACATTCTGTAACAAAAAGGTTGTGAAATTGGCCGGACTGTGCTCTCAGTTGGTTTATTGATTTTCCATTAAATTGAAAGCAGTGTATTAAATGCAATGAATCTCTTTGGGATGTGGTTTGTGGTGTACCACAAGGGTCAGTTTTGGGACTCACACTTTTTACTACTTTAATATATAAGATTTATTAAAGCTGCCATGGTTCTCAAGCCATAAGAGGTAAAGTATCAAAGACAAAAAAAAGTCATGTATTTTTGTGTTTAATTAAAATTGGTCCACATGTCTGGACCAATACATATATTTCAGAATAAAACAATAACATCCCATGTTAAATGTGAAGCACATACAGGCATTCAATTTTGAATATTTATTGTAGTCTCAGAAAGAGATGGCCTATAAACAACAAGTACAAAAGTTAAGCAAAAGTGACAAGTCGACAAGAACTTTTCTTTTTGTTGGCTTTTGTTTGTTTTGTTTGGTCTATCCGGTTATTGTTGGTATGGAAACGCTTTGACGTACTAAAGGCTCACAGACTTTCAGAAGTGAGTCATCACATTGGAGTGTATCAATACGCTCAGCTGAGTCAATTTCAGCATACCATTTTTTTTACCCTTAGCAAAAAATGCTAAGGGCTACCTTGGCATTTTTCTTTTACATTTTACAGTCTGAGTAAGAAGTAGGTAATGTTGAAAGACAACTGGTGCCACGCCTGTTTATCAGTCTCATAGAGTTGCCTATTATGAAATATCAAGACTGTGTTAATTCTCTATTCTGTTCTGTCAAATCAGTATTTCTGATAGAAGAATCCTGGCTTGTTTGATGTTTTCACCAGCATTTAAATATGGTACAAACGGAAGAGGAAGAAAATATTCAAGCTAATTAGCCGTACTCAAAAAATGCAAGAAGTAAGAGCAAAATACGAAAAGGAAGCCAACTCATGACAGAAAGAATTCATGTCAACATGACCGTTGGGGTGAGAATCACACAGGCGTGAAGACGCTGGTGTGGAATGTACACACCACATTCCACACCACACCAGCGAATGTGTGGAATTAATTTGCCGGTACGAAATCATGGAGACTGTAAAGCCTTCATGACTTTGGAGATGAGAGCTTTCATTTTATAAATTTAAAAAAAAAAGAAACAGCTCCTGTATGTTTTATTGTGTTACCAACTGCACTGAAGTTGTTTTTATGTTGGATATTGGATATCCAACGCCTGGCGGAACAAGCGGCGTTCAGCTCAAGGTTGATCCGATTTATGATTGCTAATTCTGGCCAGCTGTTCTCTACCGGCCCCTCAAGCGCTCGGAGGTTCACTCAGCGACCGTCAATTTCCGAACCAAACACTCCTATAAATAAATGCCTTGCCTTCTGACCAACTGACACAAAAAATTGGTGATTCATGCTATTACATGAGACACACTATCCTCCATTAAAATTCAATATTTTAAATAATTTTATGTTTTCACACACGTGTGTGTGAAATTAGATTAGTGTATCTCTGCAATCTTTGTCTTGTGTGTGTGTGTGAGAAAAATTGTATGCTTGTGACATTTTAATAGTGTATATGTACAATTTTTGTATTTTGTGTGTGTGTGTCTGAGTCTTTAATCATGTGTGTGAGACAACACATAGTTTTGTCCCAAGGAACACTTCAAAGCCTCACTTAGTAAGCTCCATAGGGAAGGAAAACATGTCTATGAATTATTCATGACAGGTTTTCTTAAGGAAAGAGAATGAGTCATAAACAGCTGGCACCTACGCTGTACCAACTTTGATACTTTCCTTCAAAAGTCCCTTTTGACAAGGGGCCTCCAGTGAAGCGTTGCTCATGGAGAGCGTTCGGTCGCAGGCACAGAGCCGGTTTAATTAGCAGCTCCAGTTGTAGATTTACTTGACATGCTTCAAAGACATTCGAAGGAGCGGTGGTGATTTCAGCTAACTCAACACCGAGTGTAGCAAAACATGCAGTCGGGTTGTAAAATAAAGTCACCCCGGCAGATGAGGGATCAGAAGAAATGAAGGACGTGGGCAGAAAAGAGGCCAAAACTATTCATACTTGATGGATTTAGATTAGAATTTTTTTTCATTCAACCAAGAAGTTTGTTTCCGATTGGAAATCCGTCCGTCTGTCTGTCCATCCGCCCGTCCTTCTTTCATTCCTTCCTTTCTGCCTTTATGTACTTCTTTTTTGGGGGCTCAGTCTTCAATGAGGCAGTCATGGGATCAGGTCCCATCCCACTGACCTTTGACCCCTCTCACTGCCCACTTTTCTGTCAAATAAAGACAGCTAAGGTCAAAAAACAAAAAAAAGAAAGTGGATGCAGAAAAATGCGCCAAACTTGATGTGTTTTCCTTCAAAATGTTCAGAGCCTGAAACAGAAGGAGACTTCTCCTAGACGTTAGACTTATCGTAGTCAACGGCTGCGGTTTCACGGTCTCATCACTTAATAACTTTCACCGTCTTGATAAGGAACATGCTGCTGTTCCTCAGGTCCAGTTGGAAAGCGGGAGGAAGAGCAGGGCCACAAGTAAGTTTTTCAGGAGCATAAGACTATTCTTATTCTACTTTTTGTTTGAATTAATATTTAATTCGAAGGCTATAAGAAGCTTCTGGACAAAGAAGAAGTTTGATTTTAAGCACATAAAATTCTGGGGGACAGAAACCGCATCCTCACCCCTTCTTCTCTGTAGATCTTCCCCTGAGGCAGCCTACTTTGGCAATAAAACTGCAGATCATTGTATTCAAGACAAACACAATGTGCTTAGTGTGTAAGAAAAAAATAAATTAATTAAATAAAAATAAAAAAGGGTAATGTGAGTTTCAAATTCAGCTGAGAGTTCAGCTTAAAGGATGACAGTGAGTTCTTATCTTTGTCAATCTAAAGTTCTCTTGTTGCTTTATTACTCCTAAGAATTTCACAAATTACATTTAATTACATTGATTGATTTTTGGACATTATTAAATGTCAGATATGGTTATTTATTTAATGTACATGATGTTCAAGCTGTGCCGGTAAAACATCTCAAACCACTAAGGCAAAAAGTGCCTTTTGTTCCAAATGAGCTCCTGACCCAGACTGCCTGTGCATGCCTCTGTATGTATATAATTTTTCTTGATTGATTGATAACTCATAGATGAATTAGTGTGAATTAATGTGTCCCTAAAGAAAACTCTCCTCTCAGTTCCTAAGAAAAAAAACACACATTTTCTCCCTATCGTCGGTGGCGATCTCGCTGCAGCCCAACAGAAGAACTCCGCAATGTAAATTCAAAAATTCATGTCTTATCTTGGAAAAAGTAGCTTGGAGGTTTGGTTTCGGCCCCTTCGTCGGCCTTATCATCAAAAAGCACACGTTCAGAGAGAGTTGCAGGGGTAAACAGAGCAGAAATTCACAGCAGCGGCAAATTCTGAGTGATGGGGCGAATGAAAACAGACCAGAAGAGGACGTAGAGGAGGAGACATGCAGGAGGACTGCATGCTGTCCGTTACATGTGCCCAGAACCCCATGAACCCAAGAGTTCCTCATCTATGAGAGCAATCTTTGAGACCGCAGCATGACCTCAACCACTCAGAACTGTCTCACCATTTTGGCCAGAGCCGAGGTTGCCATGATTGGCAGACAGGAACGATTTTATTTCAGCCCTCACCAACATGCTCTTGTCACCACAACCCATTACTTCCTGACACTCTGCATATCCACGCTCTGCAGACAACCGCTTAATAGATAATGGGAAACCTGCAAACACAAGCTCTGCTAAACTCTACTGACTGTTAAATAAAACTGTAAAGGACGCGTGACGTCTTTTTTTATCACTCTGTAGCAAACGAATCTTCATGAATGATGAGTAGGAAACATTTTTCAGCAATTTGTTGTTAAACTTTCTCAAAGACAATTCCTTGACCTCAGACACCAGACGATTTGGAAATCCTTCCATAAGTTTCTCAGTAACTGCGTTTCATTGACCATATTATTGCACAGTTTGACATTTCACAAATAAACTTGCTTAATGGAATTTGAACTTGAATTTAATTATTTTAAATTCTAGTTCTATAAAACTCTCTAGATGTAGTCTCTCAAGATTACATTTAGATGATGTAATCTTGAATGAACCAACCTGGTTTTCTTTCTGGAACTTTACATAATTTTGATTAAGTCACACAAAGAAGCAATTGTTTGAGGCTTTAACTTACAATGAATCTGCAAACATGAATCCGGTTTATTCAGACGTTGTGACTCAATCGATCAAAAGCTCATAAAGCTCTTTACATCATTATATGGTGTTTGTTTAACGGCCTAGTAATCTCAGTAATCTTTTAAATATGACCAGATCATGAATTGTTGTTGAATAAACTGTGATGGAAGAGGTGAGGCTAAAAACTATTCCTGGATCAAAGACATCGATATGTTCAAATAGATAATGTGATTTCTGATTACTGGTAAGATAGTTTTGTCTTCAATTGTAGTAAGACATTTGAACTAGAAACAGGATTTAAAAAAATCTTGGTACGATTTTGAGTTTTTGCAGTGTACAGCTTTCCACAAGCTACAAGAGCTCCTGCTAAAATGTCCACTTTCTAATTATCTGAGGCACAACAAAAAATTTCACGGATGTAATGAACAAACATGCAGATTCAACTTTCAATCACAGAAAAAAGTTATTGATTTTCAGTCTATTGATGAAATATGTAAGGTAGCACTAGGGGTAGAGCATGTTCACCATCTTTTTGAATAAATATGTTCAGGAATTGATTGTAGCGGCTAAAATCGTATATTTTAGGCTACTGGTTGCTGTTCCTGAAAGGCGCTGGTTTTACGTGCGTTCAATTAAGATTCATAATGGTAATCTTTAGTTTGACTTATAATAAAATCATTTATCATCAGAACAATGTCCGTTGTCTTACTATTTCCATTTAGATCCATATAAATTCGACATCAATCCAAACCAAGCACAGTAGAAAACTGTTGCCTCTTCCCATTAACAACACCTGAACAGAATCATGGTTGACCTAAAATAACCCCATCACACACCCAGAACTCAAAATTAAATATGCTCCCTGGTGGCGATAAACACAGGAAAGGATGCATGGCTCCTTCAAAGGCAATCCCAGAACCGGATAAAGCGGCTGGAAAATGGCAGCATCATAGAAACCTTCCGACAGATACCATCCAGGATGCCAGTCCCATCATGGCTGAACATTTTTATTGATATCTTAAAATTTAGTATAAACAACATCGGCTACACCCAGAAGCATCTGCCAGGTGGACCTATGTGACCCCAGAACACATTCCCTGTCTGTGGAATCACCTGAGAGGATCTCATGCCCAGATGACTACTGACATGCGTCTTCCCTCCTGCATAATACATTGAGATCTTCCATGTCTGCAAGGAGCAGTGGAGAGTATTGATTAAAAATGGTCTTCCTCTGTAAATGAGCCTTTGTGACAATATTTCACAGTGATGTAACACTTTCTCATTGACTGCCAACACTTTCTCATTGACTGCCACCTAAGGGCAAATCTCTCTGATAGCAGTTTGAAGCTTTGGACATTTCACCCAAAATAGCACAGTGGTCAGTCCAGAAACTGTCTGATGACCTGTCCAGAGTTTATAACCTGTAGGAATAAAAAAGTATTTGGTTAAAAGTGTTCAAGTACTAATCAGAGCATCTCATTTGATGCATAATCAAACAGACAAAATGTAGGATTGGTGCAAATTTGTGCTTTTAAAGATTGAAATAAGAATAATTTTACAAATAACTACAAATAACTACAAAATAACACATTAAGGTAGAAGCAACGCTTAAAAAAACGTATTAAACCAATGCTTATAGTAGGTTGTTAGATCACGGTAAAGTACTTCAAGTGACAATGTTTATGCCCACTGTCATGAACCTCCAGACTGCCTGGGCTGATAAAAAAAAAAAAACAAACAAACAAACAAAAACATTATAAACAAAGCTGGCTTAAAAACAGTACGTTTCACTTCAACATAAATTGTAGGGTTGTGGGTTTCTGTCACTTTTTGGTAGAAAACATCCTGGTTTTTTTATGTTAAGTTCTTCACGCGGTGTCGAAAACAAGCCGGGTGAAATGTTTCCGGGCTCCTGGCCCCGCCCTGGAATGACGTCATCCAAGACAACTATCACCTGAGACAGAGCCAGAGGAGGAGACGGCGTTAGAAGTTACAAGTGTTAAAGTCTCGTTCAGTGAGTTGTTACGAATTAAAAAAACAAAACATGAGCACTAAGGTAAGTTTGTATTTATTTTCCATGTTAGTGACATAACCCTAAACTCTCGCTACCGTTGGTTTGAGGCAGATATTTTAGTTTCTTCGGTCATTAAAGTTGGTTTTTCAACGCTGTAGCGTTTTTAATTAGAGCCGGCGCGGGTTGAAACAGTGACGGTTGCGTTGAAGCTTATTAACAACGCTTTTAAGTCAAGGACTAGTTTCACAGTGTCGACGTGAAACTAGTCCGCGTTCAGAGTGGGTTTATTAGAAATGTCTTAGTGTGGGTAATAAAAGTTTTAACGGAGTCTTCTCGCGGGTATATGCCAGGGCTTGTCCTCTACGTCTGTACGCAGGTGAGGAATTCAACAAGTCGGCTCCTCATTCATACCCTCCACTTCAAGAAAACGGGGAACTGCGCACAGTTACTGATATTTTATCTTATTTTATTTCATTTTCTGTTGTGGTTTTGGGGTGGAAGGGAGATATTTCATTTGGTATTGGCTTTAAGTGAAAAGCTGATTATTCACGTGAAGGCTCTGAAACAGTTTTCCTGTTTGTTGCTGTCTAACTAAATAGTAGTTAAAAACATCTGGGTTTACAGCTCAGCTGTGCTCTTTCCTTCTGACGCGCTCCTCTCAGCACGTGCTTTTTACAGGTAGGAGGGCGCGCGCACTTTTTCTTTCAGAGACTCATTGGTTACCTGACGTCAAGATATTCGGGATGTGTACAGAGAGGCACGACTTTGCTTTATTTGGTCAAACCTGGTTGAGAGTTACGATGCCATGGCAATGAAGTGTTTCTTTGCGAGGTTGGCTGCGATGTGTTGTGATGTGTTGTGACAGCGCAGCTGAGGGAAGCTCTCTCCCTCACCTACTGGGCTGTGACCGGCCAGTTGCCTGGTGTGAGCTAGTGTTGCATCATCGAGCTGGATCAGGAAGTGTGAAAAATATAACTTTACTGACTTTTATTAATCTGTTTGTTTGTTGTCGTTTTAATAAATCGCAAAACTCCCTAATTTCTACAGGAATGATTTCAGGTATACAGTGTCACTGAAAATCAGAATTTGGACAGAATTAATTTGATAGGTGGATGGATGTTTACATTACTCAGTTCTATTAATTGTAAGCCTTTAAAGTCTTTTCCCCTCCTAATTGTGGCCAGTGGTTTAAGAATATTAAGACTACACAGAAAGGCAAGCTGGTTTAATCAGCTGGTTCAGTTAAAGTTGTTGTTCACAATCAGTGGAAGAAAACCTGAATAAAAACATGAGGTAAATTTGTATTTACCTCAACTATAATTTCCATATCTTTAAAGCTCACTTTGAAAGGCTATTTTTTCTTGGTGGGTTCAGAAAACAGTTTTGTTCAGCCTACATCTGTCCTTTTAATGACTTTATCCATATATACATCTATATACATCTATATATATATATATATATATATATATATATATATATATATATATATACATCTATATATATATATATATATATAATTAGCAATGTAACGGTAGGGAAAGTGGCAGATAACCAGTTTAATGTTCTCCATATTTAAACTTTTGAATATCTTGTGCGTTTCTCTAAAGATTAAGGTGTGTGTGTGTGTGTTTGTGTGTGTGTGTGTGTGTGTGTGTGTGTGTGTGTGTGTGTGTGTGTGTGTGTGTGTGTGTGTGTGTGTGTGTGTGGGTGGGTGGGTGGGTGGGTGGGTGGGTGGGTGGGTGGGTGTGTGTGCGAGACCAGGGTTGCATATCAGAGAGGTTGAACTTCAAGTCCCCACACTCCTCCTTTTCTCCTTAGAATTGTCTGATCTCAAAGTAAACAGAGGCAGGAAGACGGGTGTGGTGGGGGAAGGATTCTGAGTTGAGCCTGGTTAATCAGGGGACAAGGTTCAACTTGTGTGATTTTCTCGGGCCTTATTTGGGTATTCTGTTTTTTTATGCGTGTCCAAAGATGAGTCAGTGCGACTGTAACATGGCTTAAAATGTGAAACAAGAATAAACCTTTGAACATGTTATGTTTTCCTAGGTTTTGTGGGCTTCCTTAGCTGTTCTCCAGTTGGTAGTAGCCTACCCACAGCGTGGTGTGAAGACAGGCCGGTCTATTTTCTGCAAAAAAGACACAGAATACCTGCACAACGGCATCTGCTGCGTGAAATGTGAAGCCGGTATGTAACAGAGGCTGAACGCTTGAGGAGAGCTAAACGCTCAGTATGATAATAATATGGATGTTATTTATGGCTTTCAGGTCAGTATGTCCAAACTCCCTGCACTGAAACGGGTAAGACTGGAACATGTGAGGAGTGTAACGATAGAACGTTCACGGAGCACGCCAACGGACTGAAACAATGCATCAAGTGCACCCAGTGCCCTCCAGGTAATTCTTCCCGACAGTTTGGTGCTATTGATTAAAAGGCCTGTAGAGAAAAATCAATGCCGCGCTCTGAGCATCAGCTCTGACTTAACAAGGCCTGTTTAATGTTGCTCTCAGATCAGGAAATAGTCAGAGAATGCTCTCACACCCAGGATACTTTGTGTCAGTGCAAGCCGGGGAGGTACTGCCATCCAGACGAAGCATGTGAAATATGCAAGAAGTGTTCCAGGTGAGGAGACAAGTGATCGCATTCATCCAGCTTTTCCTCGGAAACCCTCAATGATGCTGTTGCTACGGTCTTTGCCATTCACTAACCTGTTTTTCTGCCTCTAAACTAGATGTAACCATGATGAGGAGGTGGTGAAGAACTGCACATCTACCAGTAACACTGAATGCAAGAAACGGCAGGACAAATCCAGCCAAGAAGCAGGTAGTTTATTGTTCAAAATGTTCCCACAGATAAGCTTAGCATGCACAGCTGCTCCACCTGGTTTCTCACCTATTGATAGTCTGACACTGTAGCGAGATTGAGTCAGTCCAAGACATTTCATTTCTCCTCACAAAAATGTTGCTAATGTTGTGTTTTCCTCCTACCAGATACTACTCTGACTGCGGTGATTGTGATTCTTGTGGTACTTATTGTTTTGGGCATAATTATCGTCATCTTGTGGAAGAAGAAATGCAGAACAGAAAGTAGGTTGAATAAATTAGTCTTTTATATATTCAAACCTTGGAATTAATAATATCAACATACATAAACAATAATAGTAAAACAACTGTTCTATATTGCCATAAACTATAAGTCTGTTGTTGACCATGTAGCAGCTTGTATAGCTGGTTTATCATAGCTCCAGGTTAATGACTGCAGCAGTCTGACCTTTCTGTGGAGCAGAACCGGGTTTCTCCAGGAGTCCCTCCACTCCTGTCATGCCGCCATCTACTCAAGTTCTTCAGCAACTGTACATGTGGAGCAAATACATATGTGTGAAGTGTGGGGAACCTTTTGTAAACTTACTCTGTAAAAACATTTGCATTATTTATTTACTTCACCTGTCAGAAAAAAAATGATTTTAAATTTTTCAGTCATATTTTTACCATTATACATAGAGATCAGCAAAACCTTCCTCATATTTTGACAATCTACATATGCCTATTGCCAAGCTAATCTGTATATTAGCTAAATATTTAACTAGCAACCTAAATATTGAGTTAGCAAGATCAGAGAAAGTTAGCTCTGAGCTAAATATTTTTTTTGGTAATTAAATGTTTAGCTTGGAAAGTAAATATATACTTTGAAACTAAATATTTAGTTTGTGAGTTAACTAGTAATTTTGGAAGTCTGACATTTATAAATGTGTGAAAACATGGTAAAAAAAATGACTGAAAAATTGACACTTTTTTCCTCCATGGCAGGCTAAATAAACCAAAATATTGCTTTTCATTTTTTACAGAGTAACCTTACAAATTACATCTCATAGTAAAATGCTATTTTAACTATGGCTGTCATATTTTTCATATATGAAATGTCAGAAATGACAGCAACCCTGTTGCATGTATGGGACAAGGGGTCCCAACCACTATGTTTGAACTGGAACTGAACAACAGTAGGCCTCTTTTATGTCTTTATTATTTACACAATGAAATGGGATTTAAATAGAATGAAGTACATCTGACATAGTTGGGTACATAAAACAAGAATATTCTATGTATCATACAGTCTCCTGAGGCAATTCTTCTCTAGAAAATGTCTATCGTCAGCAGCAGCTTCCCGGCGCTGCCGTGTTTCAGTGTTACACAATGGATGAATGCCCAAAAGGTTGTACTTGTCATTTAATTCAAAACAATAAGTGATGAGAGTAATGTCACTTATTGACAACTGGCTCATAAGACCAGTGGTTTATTACCCCACTGCTGCCCTTATGAGTGAAGAGGACCCTGGCTAATAATATTAGTATTATATTAATAATATTAATAGTAGTATGATTGAGGTCTGAAGAGTTCCTCATTACATTTAGTAAGAAGTGTGAATATGCTGGCCACACCTGAATGAGTCATCACTGACGTCAAACTTGCCACAGAACCTGTTTATTTTTTAATCCCACAGTGTCTTTCATTGTCACAGCAGTACAGCAAGATTTTTTTAAAATAAATGATTAGTCAGATTGCTTAACAACAGTTCTGTTTACACTTTCTAGACTAGGTGTGAGCCTTTTAAGGCTTCCTTAATGACAGTAGGAAGCATCTGTGGTATCTGAGTTTGGATGAGCCACACCTACTCACCCTGCTACCAAAGACAAAATCTGTCTGCCTCTTTAACTTGATGAGCCAAATGAACCTCATCAAGGTCAAGCAGCTACACATAACTAATCACTTACCTTTTCAATCAGACATGCCCTCATGTAAACAAAGTGATACAGTAGAAATGTGTTTGTTAGACTGAGAATCTGTTTGGTTTTCTTGCATCACAAGCCTCGCTGACATTAAGCTGGTTATACTGGACTACAATGGATGAGTGATGGTGTTTTCATGCCAATGATGTCGATGCCATGGCAACTCGTACACTATGCTTTCTGCTTATGCAACATAGATGAACAGTAATCCCACAGACCAAACATGTTTTGGTCAACAGCTGGTGCTCTTTAAAAGATGGCTGCTGGTTTTTCTCAGAACGTTTTTCCTGTTCAGGTTTCATCACTACAATAAGGCCGATTCCTTACACTAATATCTGTTCTCTCTCCTCAGATTCCAACAGTTTGAAACCGGTGAGTCGCTTTGAGTTGGTCTCAAAATATTGACAAAACAATGTTTCCTGAAACTTAACAAATTTCAAGAGCATATTTCAATATGCTTTCCCCTCATTATCTCCAGGTTTGTATTCCAGTGAGCAAGCCTCACAACACCAATCCAAGTAAATATGTAAACATATATAAACCTAAAGGGAAGGAGGAGACAATAAATCTGTGTGAAAGCAATCCCAGCTCTGTCAGCAGCTCTCAGCACAACCTAACTGACCCCGCTGAAATACTCCCCTGGGATTACCCCAACAGGAGGGTGAGATTGACCGCTCCTCTTCATCTCTTCGTCACCCAGCCTTCTCGCTCTGATGTTGGGTTTCTCAGCTCTGCTTCCGCTTTCCTACAAAACTAACCTCAACTGTCTGCTTCCTAAAACCTGCTGCTTTTTTCACTTTCACCCACTTTTACCTAAAATACATGCATCAAATATTTATGTTTTAGGACATTAACACCTCATGTGATGAAGTACACACACAGACAAAATTATGCAACATAAATAGTGACTCACTTTTTTCAGTAGAAATGGATATTTTGCTGCATGGACCAACTGGAGGAAAAAGTCGCACCATCTGTTGGCCAAGCACAAAGCAAATCAACAGAAGTCCAAATTTCAGAAATGTATATATTTTTTGATTGGTCCATATTGTTTTTTTGATTTTTTTGTTTTGGGTATTTTTGGCTCAGCAGCCTTTGTTTGAGCGTGGCAAGACAGGAAAGGAAGTAATATTAGTTCATATTGTGGCACAAGAAATATGACTTTAGTTTCATGTGCTCACAGCGTACACATATGAAATAGAAATGTATAAACTTTACAGAAATATAAAGGAGAAGATGGCTTATTAACTTCTGGTAAATAGTTATATTTATAACCAAGAGCTTCAGCTGGTAAAATTGTGACCAACCTTTTTTATTGCCATCTAATTTTCCATTAGTCAGCCTTTGATCCATTTCCTGTAAAAACCTTTGAGAGTGTTTCTGAAGCAGGAAGGAAACATGTTCAGTCCCTTCCACATGTCTGCTGCCTTGTTTGTCCTGGTACCATCTTCTAGCAGTGGATAGCAGGGACATATGGGTTAAACGTGAGGGATAATGTTTGGTATGTTAATGAACACGCCACTTATTGTAGGGCTGTTAATATTGTTGACCTCCCCTTTTCCTCTCCCTTTTTCTCCTTTCTTAGTTGCATTTTTAATTTTTTGCCTAATGTAATAATGGTTTAACTAACTAACTAATTTAACCTATGGGACAAATCCATACGAAGTAGCCGCAAAAGATTTTTGTTGTTTTAATTGTGGATCTACATGGACTTAGCATCCTTTGAGCCCAGAAACAATCTTTTTATTTTTTTTTTTAAGATTTGTTGTCATTAGTGGCCTGTATTCAACAGTAATTTGACAGGAAGGGGGCAAAGATATGCAGCAAAAGAACCAAGGACAAAAACTCAGAACAACTGTATACTGCTAGAGCAGGTATACGGAATACCTACTCTAGCCTCTGTGCCACACAACAATCATTGATGAAACCGATGGATTAAAAAAACATTTTGCAATGCGAACTGTCTTTTTCTTTTCTTTTTTTTCTTTTTAGACGACGATCACGCTTCATCTCTCTTAGTCAACATGTGCCTCACTCACAGTAACAAACATGATGCCTTTGTGTTGTTCTGTGGCAGTGTTACAGCGCCACCGATGCTTGGCATACCTACTACACCCTACACTATTTCCTGTGACACTGCATCCTGTTGAAACATATATTTTGTCTGAATCATTTCCAAGAATACACTGTGCTAGTCTACACAGTTACTTGTTAATGATAGAATATCAAATCTGGTCTCTCACATAAATAAAAACCTATGCTTTTAATAAATCAGTTTGGTAAATTAACCTGTTTCTCTCTGTGTTTTAGGAAGAAGAGCCATTCCCCACCCTCATTCCTAAAAATGGTAAAAAAAAAAAAAAAAAAACTATTTTCAAAAATTGTTTCAAATGGAAGCAAAAAACAATCTCAGAAAACAGTATCTTGGATGTATGCAGCTTCCTTTACTTTGATATAATAAATAATCTCTCAAATGAAAAGATAATGTATTTTGTTAAAACCTTTCTGGTTCATTATCACTGTCAAATACAGCTTAATACTGTAAAATAACTAACTGTTAGATGATAGCAAAGTGCTTCTAGTATGATCCTTGAAATGTGCAGAAAATGCATCAACAGGCTCTTTTGCTGCATTTTGACCAGAAGCCTATGGAAACAAAACAAATCAGGGATTTTCTTTCTCCCCAATGTTGGCCTCTCACATAGTACCCCTTTAATAGACTTTTGTGGTTAACACACAACAAAATGAGGTTAAAGTTCAACCTGTATGAATACTTTTTCAAAGCTCTGTAATTAGACACTGACTGTCTCCTTTGTTTCCAGGTGTTGAATCTCTCACGGCGTGCTTTGAGTTCTTTGAAGAGCTGAACGTGGACTTCCACAACAGGTTCTTCCGTAAGCTCAGCATAGAAGATAACAAGATCAGAAGCAAAGATCATCTTTCTCATGAAGACCGGATCCATTTTCTGCTGTCGTACTGGGTAGAGAAGGAGGGAAAAGAAGCCAGTCTAAACCACCTGCTGAGAGCTTTACTGGACCTGAACCAAAGACGAACAGCTGAGACAGTCATGGAGAAAGCTGTTCAGAAAGGTTACTACGAATTTGAGAGTTTGTCTCTGGGAGATGATTAAAGGAGAAGTATTAAGTGTTTTTCATTTTATAATAAACTGAACAATGTTACTGTGAGCTGTTGTGAAAATGCTGTAAATACCAAAAATATCTTCTAAGAAATTTGACTTTGCATCACAGCCGCATCTGATGCCTTGAAACTGGCGTCTATCTCTTTAAGAAGCTCCTGTCCTCTCTGTCTTCAGAATATTGTCTCTGATTCCGTTTACAGCTGCTGTTAGCTCAGCAGAGTGCAATACCACCAGATGTTGCTAATCGCTGCTGCCGCTAGTCTGGTGGAGCTATACTCTGACTGGAAATTATTGTAGGAACTTCTGTCTCTATTTGTTTTTATATCTGTATATTTATGTTGCTCATTTGATTGAGACTCCAGACCAAACAGAATGCTGTATTCAGAGTTGTTAATGTTACCATTTTTTATTTCTTTTTTTTTATGTGCATATTTTTTATATTACATGCTGAATAAGGATTTAAAGTGATCCCTGAATATTTATTGGAATGTGTGTGATTTCATGTACTGAAAACAGGTTTAATTTATTGTATTTTTTTTCATTGCTGTCTGGTACTAAATATTTTCCCAATCAGGAGGTGCTTTTGTTAGGCTCAGAATTAATTAGTTTTTTAAGACCCTCAGGGGTCTTGATAATAGCAAAATGTTATAGATCAATTCAGATTTTTTTTCTGTTTGACATTTGATTGGCATTTGCTGAAGTTAATGTATGTATTTTTCATCCACATTTTCTATGAAGTGATGTTCTGTTTGTCAGCTGGTTCTGATTGAATGTGTCTGATTCAGTCCATTAAGTTTTTTTTTTATGTACATGTTTCAGTTATGGTAACTTGCTGTTCAGCTCATTCTAATAAAAAGATGAAAGAAACAAAAAGCATCTTTTACTCTGTCATATTCTGCAGGAACACCTGCTTTGTTTACTTTGACCAAAAAATGCCTTCTGCTTCTTAATATTCATTTACAAAAGTATTAGTTCCACTGGCAGATATTTTAGTGCACTTTAAATAAGACAAAGCATCACAGGAATAATATATTACAACTTGTTTAAAGTCAATATATATTTTATATATATATGTACAATATATAAAAAAGCAATGGTTCCACTGCCAGAATATTTCACTTACAAGACATTTTTCTGTTATAAATGAATTAATCTGCCAGTTGAACTACTTTTTAATCAATACTTATCTAATTATTAACTTAAAGCAAGCTCTTAGTCTCACTGAAGTTATTGTGTGATGTTCTGTCCATTAAAGTGTACTAAGATATCTGCACCAGAAACTAAATAGAAGACTTTGTGTTTTCAAGCGCATCAATAATTTTAGATTCTGTCATTAGAGTAGGCTATTTGTTGTTTCTCATCATATTTCATTCTATCAAAAAGAGCCATCCTTTACATACAACATATTTCAATCTCAAAGATAAAAATAAATGGTTCTTTAAAATGACACCAAATTTTCTACAGAGGCAGTCATGCTACAGTTACAGCTCTAAACCTCGCTGGCCAGCGAGGAGAACCGACTCTTTAGGTTGTCAGGGTTTCAGTCCTTTGATAAATTCAGGAATACTGAACAGAGTTCGCCATTGTCCACCCTTCGCCCCGGCGGCAGCGACTCCGCAGGTGGACATGTCGGGACCTTTAGAGCTGTTTCTGTAGCTAAACTTCTCAAGCTATGACTGGAAGCTATCGCGGCCATTTTGTCTGGAGGCAGGGCCTGACGTCAACCTGCTTTAATCTGTCATAAATGCTACATCACGAGCCGCTCCGACTCGGTTTCACTCGCCAGTAATATCGGAAGCCCGCTGCCTCATTTTGCCCTTCATTCTTTATTCGGCGGGCTGAGCGGTGAGCTGTGCTTGCTGTTCATTTACTCTGAAGACAAGTGTCTTTTTCCAACATTACCATAATGAATGCTGATGGGCTCGCCGTGTCCGTCATTTCAGAGAGCAGCCCTACGGTGCGCACTCCTGCTCTTTAATAGAGGTGTCACACTATCCTTCTGTTAAATGATGCCTCCGCTGTAACAAATCAGCCTTCTGACTCTCATTCATCAAACTAATGTTGTCTGAGAATATTATTAAGCGTTCCGTCGCGGCTGTCCGCCGTAGCAGCCAAATTGCCGCTCAAGAAAGGTGATTTGGTTCGCTTGTAATAAAGGTGTAGAGCGTGGCTGCTCAGGGCCCATATTATACTTCATTACATCAAATATAAATGTGCTTGACATTGAATATTGAGGCTATGCATCGCTGTGGCGAAGTCATGCTGATGTCATAAGTGGTAAATTTCAATTTAAAAAAATCTCTTTATTCCAGGTTTTGCAAGCGCTGGAATGCATTAAGAAAGCTATTTTTTGTGTGTTTATTCTAAAATTGTGTAATTCCAAGTTTAAAAACTTTACTATTTTCCTTAGTGGGAGATCAAGTTGTTCTTTTTTAGTGTTTTAAGCTACCTACAAAGAAAACAAAACGCATTGAGACTTTAGGGAGTGCAGGCCAGAAAATCTGTGGCGGTCTACACGTCAACCCATCCAGGAGGGGTGTGCGACTTCGTATTTTGAAAAAGTCTAGAATTGCCCTCCCCCAACCCACGAAAGAAATCATTAGAAACCTTTGTATTTAAACAATATCACCGTGAAAAGGAAATAGAAACAAAGAATTTAATAAATCTGCCATTCATCTGCTAAAAAAACAAGAACGAATTTTTGTGTCCACCCCCGCCACTGTTAGAACCATGGTTCAGTCCAAAGTGCAGGCTGAGCTGCTAAACTGCACGGGGAGCGTCAGTCTGTCAGAGCCACAGATGTGTCCTCTCTTCTGCGGCTACGCAAATAGCAAAACCCTCCAGTAAGTAAATACTTCAAGCAAAAGACATGTTACACATTTTATTTACTTTCACTGCTCAATAGGGTGAAACACATTAACAATAAAAATCAAACTCCAGTTCGTTATTTCATTCCTTTGGCTGAACCATGATAAACTGCCTCGTTATGCCTTAAATCAAAATTAGCTAAACTGGCCACATTGCCATAGACTTAGCTCTTTTTTCTGTCGAAAGCGGCCGATATATCAATCCTATGATTAAATATATATAATATATTTGAATCATATTCAATCAATCTTATTCGAGAAAAACTTTGGTGCTGAGCCTTAAGTTTAAGTTGTGATGCTTCCCAAATAATCAATTTCTACAAATGTTTAGGTTTTCAGCCATCCAGGACCTAAAAAAAAAGGTTTAAAGCATTTTAAGTTATAATTTAAATAACACATAGCTTGTATTAAGAGCCACTGCAATAAATCAATATTTATGAGAAATTGTATTAAGTGGAGTTACTCATTAAAACTTGTTTTTTTGTCAGAGCAGTAAATCTTTGTGAAGGTGAACCAGAGACAAGATCTGTGACTCTGAACCGAACTCATATCTAAACATTTGCATCTTAGTTTGACCTCTGTAGGTCTCAACAGGTCGTTTACTGAGAAAAAACACATTTGATGTGCATTGGTACTCAATAAAAGACGAGCTCAGTCAGAGCAAGCGTTTAGGAACCCCAGGAACATAAAAAAACAAATATGTCTTAAAAAAAGACCTCCTGGGTTTAGTTGTTTGATGACCGTGGTTGCCATGGGAGATTGAATGATTTCTCAAACATGCATGAAAATACAAAAGGAAAACTCCGAGAATGTCTTTCATGAGGGAATAACATCATAAGATGATATAAAGCTTACATCATAGACTCCTCTTTAACGTTCTGCTTCACAATTATCCACTTTTTTGTGTTGGTCAGGCACATTAAATCTAGTACACTTTTCGGCAGTAACCTCACATAATGTGAAAAAGTCAAAAGAGGGTGTGAATACTTTCGGAGGACAATGCAATCAGTCTGAAACGCTGTTTCCACTATTCTGCTGCGCCCCCAAGTGGCCATAAAGTATAATTGGCTTGGCGCTAAAATCATTTTCCATCACTGTGTTTCTTAGTTAGGCTGTAGTTTCCTGTGATTAGTGGACCTGAAGAAGCCCAGCTGCCTCTCTGGGCTCTCTACAGTCTTCATTCACAATAATAAAACCCTCAGAACGGCCCCTTCCCCCTCGACTCAGCTGTCTGCGTCTTCATGGATCTGAGGGCAAAAACCCTGGGAGTGTGAACCGAGGAGCCAATTGGACCCCTGGGATTAAATCAAGGGTGCAGACTGCAGTTGGTTCCTTTGATGAAATCACTCTCAAGTTGTTTCCTGTGTCTACAAGACAAAAGCAGTAACATAGCAGAGCACTGCCACTGCTGTGTTACACACACACAAACCAGTTTCAAATTCCATTTTCCTAACTATTATGCCTACATGCATGCATCAAGAATAAATTCGATTTGCTCTTGGACTATCTCTCCCAGTTCTCCCCACACCAGAAGAAGTGGCACTTCTGGAGGTTGCTGGGTACTTCTGAGCAATGCTGCATGAATAGCAGCTGATTGTGATGGAGGCGGCCGTGATCACTCTATTCAGGCCAAGGAAGACGGGGATAAAACAGCTGTTAATCAGTGATGAAGAGGAGGTAAAGAGGTTGCGCTATTACATTTTCAACTTCAGGGCTCTTCTGCGAAACTTGAGGAATAACAAAAATTAAAATAGGACTCTAAAACACGAAGCTTTAAGAGGTTGAATAATAGTACTCAATCTGTTTCCAGAAAAATGAACCGATGTCTCCGGCGCAGGCTGAGTTTGTTAGACCGATGTGAAACCCTGCTGGGGATAAATAGTGGAATGTAGAAAGTAGATGTGACAGAATTCATGACTTTCTCGGGGTGATGCTTGATTTGCAGAGTCAGCCTTCTGCTGACTCTGTAAAGACAGAACCTGTCTGTCTTTACACAAACAGATCAACCTCCCAGATTTAGGACTCCACTTTGTACTCTGCTTAGGACTGAATTCATCCCACAACTCAATAAGTCTGGTGTCGGTTTCAGCGGGGTTCTGAGAGGGGTGGAGTTTTGAGAACTGGGCTGCGACGTTGCAAAAGCACAACATCTTACTAAGAATATATGGCCTAGTTTCTAGTACACATATAGTACCCTTGAACTAAGATAAAACTAAGTTACACTTCAGTAAGACAAAGGAGCTTATTTGAAGTCAATAATTCCTTAATATTGATTAAAAGGTGCCTGATTATTTGGTATATTATTTTACTAATAGGAAAAATATCTTTCTTAGTGAAATAATCTGCCCGTGGAACTAGTACTGTGCTCTAAACTAGAAATACAGCTGGATGTCATTGACATAGATATTACAGGAAATATCAGAAAAGGAAGAATAATGCCAGCAAGTTGAATAAGAGAAAATAAAGCGGGCCCAGAAGCCTTGTGGAATCTCACATGTTCAGAGTTCAGGGGGTAGTGTCAGAGGAGAACCTGTCTGTCTTTACACAGTGTGTCCTGTGAAATAGGTATGAACACTGAGCCAGTCCAATGCTGATCCTTCTGCCTTGAAACAAGATTGCGTTGAGTCTCTGTTCAATCTGGCAGAGCTTCAGCTATTTTGTTAAACATAAAATTACTCCTCTGAACATCCACAGGTATTGTTTGATTCACTTAGATTTTTTAAAATAGTTTTTGTTTTATCAACTTTTTATTTATCCATATATTATTTAACATTTTCCCCCTAGCACACTTTGGCCGACTGTGGTTGATGTGGAAATATCTCATACTTCAGTATTGGACAGTTGCATAACATTACCTCTAGGTGGAGCAGAAAGGCAACAGAGAAATGCTGAGTGACTTCCGTTCAGAGATCCCAGCGCAGGAGCGTTTGGAAGGACAAACTCATTCAACATGTTCAACTGCCTTCCTTTCTATTGCTTTATAACAACATTAGTATTCTGATGTAAATAAATCAAACAGCATTACCTGTTTGATTTATTTACATATCATTTTAATTTGAGCAGACTGGAGGACTGCAGCTCAGGCCTTGAATTCTATTAATACACTCAGGTTAAGATAAACTATGTAGCAGGTCAGGTTGTCCGACCAGCCTATGACAGATAAAACCACATCTCCCACAGTGACTTGCGCCTGCAACACGGAAACGGGAGAGGTGAGGGGGATATTTGTCCCTGAAAGTAGTTCACCTATTTCCTTCACACCTGGACTTAATTATTCGCCGCTTTTGATTGTCAGCTGGCCAATTTGTCTGTAAATGATACACATTTTAAGGTTAGTCCTTTATTATATTTAATTTGGAAAACTGGAAAATTGGAGGTCGCCTCGCGCCAGGCACGCCGATAAGACGTCTTCATTAAAGACGACGCGCAGCCAGAGGTTAAATATTAACACACATCTTCCGCTGAAGCGCCTGTCTGTGTTTTCTGTTTGGAAGCTTTTAGGCAAAAATTCTTTCCTAGAATTTCTAGAGATTATTTTTCGACTGGTGGTTTCTAAAAACGCGGTGTTTATTTTCCTTGTGATCTTTCCATCTGTACAGCCACCTGCCTCTCGCCGCGAGGGCTGAAGATGGAGCAGAGTGGGACTCAATTTCCCGACTGCCCCGTCTCGTTCCCCACCGTCTTTGAGCGTTTCCCCCTCGCCAACCTCAGCGCAGAGGTTGAAAGCGAAACTCCGCCGAAGGAAAACGAAACGATCCCGACTGACAGTGTGAGCAAACTTAGGAAGGGGAGGGGCTACAGTAACTCTTACATATTGTGGAGCTCAGTTCGCGGATGGTACAGTAGTGTAGCGTGTGCGCACCGTTGTCAGACAACCCAGTGGCTGTTGTCGAGGTAAGGTTATCCCGCTGACTCTTAGCTCTGACGGAGGAGCTGGTTTGTTCACCTCAACCTGGGAGGGCACTGCTTGTTGAGGACTTCTGACATCTGTACTTGTTTCTGAAAAATGGCTCCAGAATCTTAAATGACATTAAACTCCTGTGGCAGCTTTTTAACTGCTGCAAGTTCAGAAAAGTGAGGTGAAATGTGATTCACATCGTTCTTCCTCTGCCTTTCAGATGAGCTCCACTGTGAAGTTCTACCTGTGCTACCTGCTGTGCTTGGCTCTGGGGCTGGCCTGCGTGGTGTGTGTGTGTGTTTGGAACAGCCGGTGGAGGGGCGGCTTTGCCTGGGACGGCTCTCCACACCAGTTCAACTGGCACCCGGTGCTGATGGTGACTGGTCTGCTGGTTCTGTATGGCTACGGTAGGTGAGCTTCACAGTTTTGGATTGTGCAGTTTCATTTCTCTGTCTCACTTCTGTTTCTTCTTCAGATATGCTGTAGGTGTATTTGAGTAGTCAGTATGATTATGGGTTTTGTATTGGGATAATGTATCATGTGAGTGTCAGGTGTTATGTGGTACAACAGTTTTTGCGTTATTGGTAAAACTCCTCAGTGATGGTGATCCCCACAAATGCAGAACCTGTACCATCCATCCTGTTTCACAGTGTGGGTTAATAATCTCTTACTATGGAACCATGTGATCAGCCATTCAGTTGATATTAACAATAGGAAGTTAGCACTTGAGCTAGTGTTGACCTTTATAGAGTATTAACACTTACACACAGGCATTATACTGATATAAAGTTAGTTTTACAATCTCATGCTGGTTAAACAGTAAACCTCAGCCTAAAATTAAAATTGTTTTATTTCTATGTTATGACTGTCTGTGACATTCAGAATCAAATTTTTAGCAGAGTTAAAGGTCTGGTAAACTTTTTACAGCCAGCGGACTGGCAGTGCTCAGCGACAGATGTGCTGCGTATTATCACTGTTCCAGTTGTGTTGAATATTTTTTGCTTCTTGAACAAAATCCCTAGTCGGGGAAACTGCTTCTAAAACTGTTGATTCCAAAGTCGGAGCCTTGAAGAACACCATCGGAAATCACGTGGCAGCAAATGTTTTTGCTACACAACTTAGTGATGTCTTTTTGGTACAAAAACACTACTGTTGTGGACAGGTGTAGTGAGGATCACGTGATGTTGTTGGTGATTATAGATCAGCTGTTGCTCACCTGGGTGATCTTAGTGAGTGGGTGATGGGGGAAGGTTTACTTTTTGCTGACCGCATCCATTTAGCACATTTTGTCTTTATTCACTGTTTTTTCTACGGATCCGTTTTTATGCTGTGTGGACACTGTGAAGTTTTGGATATTGACAAAATAAATAAACTTAAATGCAACTTGGATTGCTCTTTTGATCAGCTGGCGCGTCAACAAAGATTCCCCTATTCAGCCGCTCGGCGACCTGGTTTGGCAGTCGCTAATATTTGTCAGCAAAAAAGTAAAAAAACAGCGATAGAAACAACAACGGAGTTTGTCTCACAGCTGGACGCCAACGCGAGCCCACGCCACCGCCACGACGCCCGCGAAAGAGAATCGTTTGACAGGGAAGTAGAAGACGACAGTGGTATGTAACCCAAATGTTTGGTGCTGCGTAAAGCTTTTAATCGCAGTTTGGTTCTGCCACATGAAGCTGTTGTGGTGACACGCCCCCGCTACGTTTTGCTGTGGGAATGCCGAACCTTGGTGTGCGAGTGTGTGCTGTGGCTCTGCGTGCGTTCAATAAAGTTTAAGGACGTTTCCTGAAAGTTTCCTTTATTTGGATAAAAATGAGTGGATTATCTGTTGTCGAGAAACCTGATAAGGATAAAAGAACGATTGTTCTCACTGAGAAAGCTCTTGCAAATAAAATTGAAACTCTCCAAACAGAGCGGAAAAAGCATGTGAAGAAAATGAAAAGTGTAACTTCATCTCTGAAAGAGCTAATGCAAGATAAGAATTATTCACAAGTAAAATTACTGCTGGATGAGTTGACACACTTGTTTAAAGATGTCATTGTATTGCATGAATCCTTGATGCCTTTAATTCCTCCTGATGAGAAAGATAAACAGAATGCATGGTTTTCAAGTATCACTGAATACAACCAAGGATTTATTGAGGATGTTGAATTATGGCTTTCTGAAATAAAGAAATGTTCAAGCAGACCATCCTCTGACATTAAACTGTCACAGGAAACTCCATCAGGAGAAGTGGAGGTTCAAGAACAAATGGAGCCTCAGTTGTCTGCCAATCTCCAGCATGACATTCAAGATGATGTGTTGCCATCTGACAGTGTTTCAAATCAAGGAAGCAGGTCTAGCTCCAAAGTATCTTCAACTTCATCTGCACGTCTCAGAGCAGAAGCTGAAATGGCAGCTTTGCTCGCGCGTCAAAATATGCTCAAAGTAAAACATGCTATTGAAGAACAAGAGGAGCAACTTAGGAAAAGGAAAGAACAGCTTCAACTTGAAGCAGAAATAGCTGCAACTGCTGCAAAAGTAAATGTGTTGAAAACTGGATCTGCAGTGCAAAGCTCAGCTTCACAGAAATCTAATGGTATGGAATCCTATTTTAAAACAAAAGAAAATGCTGTTGAAACTCTTAATGCTAAAATGTTTGTTCCACAGACAAAGAGAAATGCAGTTAATGAAAATGCAGAGCTTCAAATAAAAACAGTGCAACAAAATGTGACAAAGAAAAGGTTTGCACCTTCTTGTTTTGGACCTACTCGTCCTTTAAGCGGAACATTATCAAATATGCCGCTGCAGCAAGTTGCCCAATCAGCAACCAATGAAAATCTGTTATCCATTATGGAGAAACAAAATGAATTAACTTGCATGTTGGTTCGTCAACAAAGTCTGTCTTCGCTACCCAAAAGAGAAATTCAACCCTTTGATGGCGATCCACTTCATTTTCAGGCCTTTATGCGCTCATTTGAACAGGTCATTGAATCAAAGACTGATGATCCTGACGATTGCCTGCATTTACCTCGCACAGTACACCAGGGGGCAGCCCAATGAACTTGTCAAAAGCTGTCAACATATGTCTGATGGTGGTGGATATGTAAAGGCAAAGACTATGCTATATGAGCATTTTGGAGATGGATATGTTATTGCATCTGCTTACCTGAATAAAGTTCATTCGTGGCCATTGATTAAATCAGAAGATGGAAAATCTCTTCAGGCATACTGTTTGTTCTTACGTGAGTGTTGTAATGCAATGGAGGATCTTCATTATCTTTCTGAATTAAATACACCTGCTAATATGCTTGCTGTGATTAAAAGATTGCCATATAAATTGAAAGATAAATGGCGAACAGTAGCATGTGACATTCAGGAGAAGCAGCATCAAAGAGCAACATTTTTTGACATTGTTTGCTTTATTGAGCGTCAAGTCAAAATTACTACAGATCCTGTCTTTGGAAAGTTAAGTGATGCTCCATTAATAAATTCATCAGCTAAGAGCACAGATGGAGGGAAACGTTTTTCTCGTCCAAGAACTTCAGGAAGTAGTTTTGGCATCACTACCTCTGCTGTTGAGAGAAATAATCCATCAGAGGCTCAAGACCATCACACTGATGTGAAGATTTGTTTGTTTTGCAAAGGTGGACAAACTGGAGTTATGCTCTCTTTTTGAAAGGAAACCTCATAATGAGAAGATTTTATTTCTTAAGAGAAATGGTTTGTTTGGTTGCCTGTGTACAGGGCATATCAGTAAAGAATGTAGAAAACGCCTTTCGTGTAAAATCTGTGGTTTCAGACATGCAAGCACACTCCATATTCACAATAACAATAAGAATGAAGTTCAACTCGTTGCTGAAGGAGCGAAATCTCCTGACACAGTTCAGACGAGTGGTCTTACTGGGGCTGGTGGACAGGACTGCAAGCTTGCTATTGTACCAGTCAAGGTGAAATCAAAGAAAGGTCAACGGATACTGGAAACGTATGCCTTTTTGGACCAAGGGAGTTCAGCATCCTTTTGTACAGTGGGTCTTTTGGATAAGCTGAATCTCATTGGGAGAAAAACAAAGATTCTCTTGCGCACCATGGGACAAGAGAAAGTTGTGGACAGTTTCATTGTACCTGAACTTGAAATTGCTGGATTGGACAGTGACATGTATTATGACATGCCTGACCTCTTTACTCAGCACAAAATGCCTGTAGATTTGAGTAATATTCCGAAGCAACAAGATCTGGCTAATTGGCCGCACTTGAAGTGTGTTCATTTGCCCGAGATCAAAGCACAGGTGGAGCTTTTGATTGGCATGAACATGCCCAGAGCTCTAGAACCATTGGAGGTCATCGGGAGCAAAGGTAATGGACCTTTTGCCATTAAAACTGTGCTCGGCTGGACAGTGAATGGTCCAATTGAACGAGAATGTTGGGAAAGAACAAGTTGTATGTCAACTGTCACCATGAATAGAATTTCTGCTGTTACATTGGATAACCTATGGAAGCAACAATTCAAGATAGATTTTCCTGAGAACAGCCATGATGAGCAGATGGGGCTGTCAAAGGAAGATTCTAAGTTTCTAGAGTTGGCCAGCAAAACAGTAACCTTGTGTGATGGACACTACAATATTGCCTTGCCTTTGAGAGATCAAGACATAAGAATGCCTGATAACCGTGCAATTGCTGAACAACGTGCCTTAAGTTTAAAGAAAAGGTTAATCAGAGATAAAGACTTCCACAAGGACTATATTGCCTTTATGAAAGACCTTTTATCTAAAGGTTATGCCAAAAAAGTGCCAACCACAGACTTGGGGCGCAATGATGGAAAGGTTTGGTATATCCCTCACCATGGGTGTACCATCCTACCAAAGGAAAGTTTCGGGTCGTCTTTGACTGTGCTGCATCATTCCAGGGCTTTTCTCTCAATGCACAGCTCCTGAGTGGTCCCGATTTAACAAATAGCCTGGTTGGAGTGCTGACGAGGTTCAGAAAAGAGCCTGTCGTTTTGACGTCTGATATTGAAGCCATGTTCCATCAAGTGCGTGTGCCAGAGAAAGATGCTGACCTGTTGAGGTTTCTCTGGTGGCCTGATGGTGATCTCAATCAGAGCATGCAGGAGTACCGCATGAGCGTTCACTTATTTGGAGCAACATCATCTCCGAGTTGTGCTAACTATGCCTTGCGGAAATGTGCAGAAGACAACAATGCAGATTTCAGCCAGCAGGTGATTGATACCATTCTGTATAATTTCTATGTGGATGACTGCCTTGTTTCAATAGGCACTGAAGAGGAAGCCATATCTCTTTACTCAGACCTCAAACTCATCTGCGCCAAAGGCGGTTTCCACTTAACAAAGTGGATAAGTAATAGCCGTAGCGTCTTGGCAGTAATACCTGAGGAGGAAAGAGCCAATGAGGTTAAAAACTTAGATCTG